CATAAGGCCTGTCATTGAGTCAACTGGCGTGGTTTCGAATCCCCGGTTGTACGTGACAAGGAGTAGGGTCGTCTGTCTAACCTTGTGGGTTTTTTCCGGGTCCTCCGGTTTCCTCCCACTGCTAAAGACCTCTACGCGCAAGCGAATTATTGAAATAAAATTAAACCATATGTTTGTCCCGAAATGACCTGGTTTGTGTCGAGTGGACGTTAAACTCCATTTCTCTCTCTCTCTGTCCTTATCAGGCCCTTCTGTCCTGCACCACTGACGAGGGGAAACTATGTCGGAAAGTCACGATGAACTTTCTCGGCCAACACCGGGGGCGAACCCGCTACCTCCAGACTAGCGAGCGTCTTACTCACTTAGCCACCATGGCTCCCGAAAAGGAACGAAGTAAAGGGTCAGGGTTTATTCCCGTTTCCCAATAAAAGCAAATTGGGCTCCAGCTACTGTTCAAAAAATTTAAAATTTTAGAACAATTACTAATTAGGATAATTAGTATTATGGTTGCCTGGTTCCTAGTAAGGGACAAGGTCTGTCATACTCATACTGTAGGGCTTGTCTTATTCGACTTTTAAGTTCAGGAATAATTAGATTGGTGAAAAAATGATCTTATCCAATTTGAGTATTTCACATAAGCGGTTCCCAAGTTGTTTCCCCAGACCAATACAGTTGGTAACATCCTGCTTTTCAGCTCCATCCAGGTAAATGAGGACAGGCATACTCCATACAGTTTGCAATGAGTGAAATTTTGCCCAGGCAGCGGCAGACTCTTTATTCCTTTTTCCACACACGCACGCAAATAGGTACACGGGACCTTGTTTTTTGTTTCATTCGAATGACTAAAGACACATCAGAAAATCCTGAGAAACCTTCCTTGATGATGTGCAACGATTAGACCAGTCAATTTATGAAAAAAAAGGTGGGTTAACCCCTAAAAAATTGAAAGAAAAGTTTTTTTGATGGTTTCTCGAAAGTTTACCAAAACTGGAATACCGGAAAGGCACAACTTTTAAGGGTAGTCATTTTCCTGTAAAAGGTCCAACTTCAGGCAAGCACAAAATCGTCAATTTTTAAGACAAACACGCCTTTCTTTAGTTTACCAGTGTCAGTCTTGCATATGAAATGGTTTTCATAGTTGTCCGATGCCCTGTTGTACCATTTTCTTGGCTATCCTATTCCTTACCCCGAAAACATGTGACCCAGAACCCAAATTTATAAAGGGGCATAACTCTGCACTATTTTATCATAAAACACTGTTTTAGAGTTTGTCTCGAAGTTAATATTATGGTCATTCTTTCATTATATATACCCAGTGGCGTTAACTGGTCCCTCATACCATTTTCTGGGGTACCCCTACCCCCACAACCTGCAACAGAGAACCCAACATTACGAATAGGAAAAACTCTGCAATGCCTATAATATAGCAAATATGCTCAGTTGGTGATGTTCAGTGGTTCCATACACCTGCTGTCGTGGAAGAAGAGTGAGCAAGATGAGCAAAGAAATTATTTACAATTTGCTCTACATGAAATGAAGCGTGCTGCCATGTATGATTTCTAATCATATGGAGTTGTTCTTCATTAACTGAGCAACTTTTGCTAAAATACATGTTTACTGTTATACATTTCATGGAACCTCAAGGTAAGGCCAAAAGGAGAGTCGCAGTCGCTCAGTGATTAAGACGTTGGCTTGCTAACTTGGAGGTCCCTTGTTCAATCAGGATTTTCCGTTGTGGTTCCCCCTTGTCGGTGGTGTAGGACAAGGGATAAAATAGTCATTCGGATGGGACAAAAAAACAATGTCCTGTGTACACATTGGCATGCACACAAAGAACCATTGGCAGTTGGAATATAAGAGTAGGCTGCAGCACCACTTTCCGGGCAAAATTCCATCATAGCACACTGTATGGCGTAGTCAAGTCGGAGCAGAACAGTAGGACGTTATACAGCATTTCATTTCATGGCGCACAGGCTATTTGAAATACGGATGTGGCTTTTTCATTTCTATTATACTGTATGGGAAGGCCACAGTGTGTAACAATTGGAAGTTTACATGCCAAATCACATTTGGTGTATGACTTAATTTATATGCCCAGCAGTCTAAAATATGGGATAGTTCTGTTCTACAAATATACATGTAAACTACCACCAGCGGTTGCCATTCAAGATACACCCATATTTTGCAAGAAATGGATAGAGATCAAGCTAAAGAAAAAAAAAAGCGATTTTTTGTACAATCAGGGGCCATAATCCAGTAAGTTATGGTCTGATATGCGCGAAAGGAACCGAGATCTTTGGGATAGAAAGATATGTTTTAAGTTTCATCAAAATGGGATTAAAAATTGTGACCTCTAGGGGGTCCACAACCTTGGTATTACATTTTTACACTATTTGCGTTTACAGAGCGTCCATTTTGTCAGGCAGTTTCGGTCCGACTTTTATGAACATGATATAATTAAACGATTTTAAAAATCAAATGAAAATTGTGACCTCTTAGGGGTCCACAAACTAAAATTGCATTTTTTTCCCACAATCAGGCGCAAATATCAATATCGAAAGAAACCAAGTGCTTTGTGATATAAACACAGGTTTTAAGTTCCATCAAAATTGATAGAGAGAAAGAGAAATGGGGTTTAACGTCCACTCAACACTAACCAGGTTAATTTCGGGACTAACATATGGTTTAATTTTTTTATTTCAATAATTCGCTTGCGCGTAGGGGTCTTTAACAGTGGGAGGAAACCGGAGGACCCGGAGAAAACCCACGAGGTTGGACAGGCGACCCTACTCCTTGTCACGTACAACCGGGGAATCGAAACCCCGCCAGCTGATTCAATAACAGACCGTAAGATACAGCGCCATCTACTCCATTCGGCCATCTACTCCCCCCCCCCCCCCCCGATCAAAATTGATATTACATACCTTAACACTATTTGGTACAGGGAGCGGTAATTTGGTCAGCAGTTTCGATTTCATTTTCATAAAATTCGAACTCAACCGTCATTCTAGTGTAATGGTGATATATTCAAATGTTTTTTTTTTTAAATTGAATAAAAATTGTGACCTCCAGCTAAAAAAACGATTTTTCGTACAATCAGGGGCCATAAACCAGGAAGTTACGTGCCGATATCTGTGAATATCGAAAGGAACTGAGATCTTTGGGTTATAACCATAAAGTTCAAGTTTCGCCGAAATCTAGAGTGACCACAAACTTAAAATGTGATTTTTCGTACAATCAGGGCCATAATCCAACATCAAAAGGAATCGAGATCTTTTGGAGATAAACCTATATTTCAAGTTTCTTCAAAATCAGATAAAAATTGTGACCGGTAGAGTGTCCAGAAACAAATTGTGGACAGATGGCTGGACAGGGGTGATGACAATATACGATCAAATGCATCATTTTGACTTAGTCAAAATTGATCCGAGCAAACCATCTGTAATTGGTTTGTGTTATCTGTTTCTACTGATTGGAAGTTTCTCACATGAAAATGTGGGCTATAAAAATGTCAATGGGATTTTTGTCTATCGAATTGTACAATCAGTTAAGTTTTACCAATTATGAATCTTAAGTTTACCAACACGTTTTGGTAGGATGCAAGAGACTGTACTAAGAATGAGCGCCATCTTATATGGTGATATGTAGTGCTAGCATTATTGATACTTATTACACTCTTTCACCAACATCTGCTGTTTCTTTAATGTCTAGCTCTTCTTGACAGAATGGACAAGTTTCTTGGCCAACACTTGCATTTATTCTTAGTACAGTACCTTAAATCACTCCAAAAAGTATTGGTAAACAATTATTGATTTGGCATGTAAGTTCCCATGTGTCAGTAAATCACATTCCCATGTAAACATTATTACACAGTGGGCATTACATACAGTTTGATTGAAATAAAAAAAACCCATCCCTTAATGTCAAATAGCCCATTGGAAATTGGAAGAATGTATAATAGTAAAAATAGCCTGTGCAGCAAAAAGCAACATTGGACATTGGAAGAATGTATAATAGTAAATCTACTGATGCACACTATAACATTGTATAGTCCAGCAAACTGAGATTGAAGCGTATTTTAGCAAAAGTTGCTCAGTTAATGAAAGACAACTCAAATTTGTTTTTGAAATCATAGATGGCAGCTTGCTTCATTCTGTGTAGAGCAAATTGTTAAACAATTTCCTGCACCTTTATTTTCTTGTGTTGTCTAAGTCATCTTTCATCACGGCAGTATATATGGTAAGGGAATCCCCCCCCCCCCCAAAAAAAAACATGTACATAACAAATATGCAGTAGTGCAGAGTTACGAATGATGGTAAATTTGGGTTCGAGGCCATATGTTTTTCGGGTAGGGGGGTACACCAGAAATGGTAACCACGCTTATCTTATCTTCAAATGAAATGTTGACCCCTAAAACATTAGTTCAGATACCCAAGTTGCTTATTATGATGAATTAGTGCAGAACTGCAGAACTAAGCCTATTCGTAAATTTTGGTCGCAGTTTGTGGGCGTTGGGGTACCCCTAAAATGCTACATGGGATCAGTTAACAGTACCACTGGGTTTTTCTTCATATGAAAGAATGACCCCAAAAAGCATTAATTTATATGTTCATAATACATTTATAGGGTCTTGAATCAAAAGTTTATGATTTTCTTGTACATTGATCGGGCAAATGTTGACTATCTTGGATTTGACCAATTTTTACTGCTTAAAGGGACCAGTTAACATCCCCAAAACAATAATTTATATGTTCATACATCACACATTATTAGGCAATTTTACCGCTTTTCGGTGCACACAATTTGGTAAACTTTTGGGATGTTATAAACTATACCTAAATAACCTAAAAAAAAGGTTTTCTTGCAATTTTTTACGGTCTAGATCATCCTTATTCAGTGTATGCAGGTGCGGATACTGGGAGGTGCCAGTTGTCTTAACCACTCAGTAAAAATTTGTAATTTATATTCTGGAAAAAATTTGCCTTCAATAAAGTAATATATTTTTATGTACTGCCCAGCTAAATCAAATTTATTAAAACAGACAAAAATTAATTATGATTAAAATAAATTCATTCAGGCTATACAGTATACATGTATGTCTTGTAAACAATGTACACTAGTTAAATAATATGATTAGAAAAAATCAGCAGCCCCTAATCTGGTCATTCTCCTTGTTTTAACATTCACAGGGGCAGTGTTCCTTTTATTTGTTTTACTAATTTCTTTTGGATGAAATAACTGCACTGGTTTTTTATTTGTACCACGAGGAGCTGGAACAGGTGAGACTGGTGATTTTAGTATTCCTTGTTCTGGCTGCTTTGTGGGAACATATGCTGGGTGTGGGCTAACTGCCATACCCTTCTTAAACTTCAGTGCAGTATTTTTCTTCATATCAAAGACAACTTTCTTCTTCATGCCTGACATTGGTGTGATCACTTTCTTTTTTTCTGTGGAAAGCATGTTTTGTTTTCTGTCCTTTTTTTTCACTGAAGCTGTTTTTGGCTTCTTTAATTTTGTCTGCTTTTGTTTTGGAGTACCTGTTGGTGATTCAATAATTGTAGAGCTTGATTTTTTCTTTTTGCTTGGACTGCCTGTTGTTTCACTAGCACTACCAATATTAGCACCATTTGACACACAAGATTTGCGTTTCAGATTTTTGTTTATCTTAGGTTCAGTTTTTTGTGTGGAATCAACTTCTGTTGAATTTAAAATTTCTGGTGCACTTTTAACTAAATTTAATTTAATATCTTCCAATTTTAATATTTTCTTCTTGGCATTTCGCCTTGGTGTCATGTTTTTTTGTTGTTTTAACTCCTCAACTACATTGTCAAATGTTTCAGCAGTTTCTGAGATACAACTTGCATTTTCGTCCTCTTCATTTTCATAATCTGGCTTTGGTGTACTGACTTTTCTATCTTGACTATCTCTAATTTTCCTGACCATTTCATAAAAGTGGTTTCTATGCCAAGTACTACATGCGGGATTTCTTCCTAATGTGAATAATTGATCAGCTAGCCATTCACAGACTTGTTTGTCATCTACTAATCTACAGGTAGTATCATCACTGCCCAATTGATTTTGTTGCTGCTGAGCTCGTATCTTCAGAGAATCATTGATTAGGGGTTCAAATATTTTCTTTATAATATCAATAATAACTTCTTTTTGTTTTGAGTTAGTAATAAAGTTTATATATGACTGAAAACACAAACAAAATTTCTCTGTTGTCAAGTCCTTTAGTCCTGTCCTTTTCAATTCGTCCAAAAAAATACTGTTGAAGTACATTCTGAAACCATGTGATATTCTAGTATTTTGAGGGTCTAAAAACGTCTGTTGGAACAAATGAGTTAAGTTTTCAATGTAACTTGTTTGCCAGGAATTATTTTGTATGTAGTGAAGTGATTGTCGAATGAACTGTCTGATCAACATCATAAATTTATCTACTCTCCATTTGTCTATAGTCGGCCATTCCCTAATTTCTGTTATAAAGAAGACTTTTATGAAGAGAAACGTCTGATCACTGTTTGCAAACGAGTGTACCAAAGCTGTCATTTTCTCCACTAATTCCTCCTGAATAAGGGGTTTGTCTTGCATCCATAAACAGTAATGTAGTCCTTTCCATATCTTTGTAAAGTCTTCTTCTGTAAAACGTTTTTTAGATTTCGACCTAATCTCTAAATATTTCTTCAATTTTTTGATCGCCTTGTCCCGAATCTTCCGTTCATTCGATGCCAGCCTTTGGGCAAATTGTATTTCAGTTGATGCCATTTTTACCATTCAACACGTGGGGGGAATTTATTAATAGAATTATCGTCTCCGCAGGAAGACGCCTAAATCTATTTGTTAAGGCCAGCTCAATTTTTGTCAAGGTTGCTGAGATGTAAATAATAAGGTTGGGGCACGTGATTGTTGGCGAGATTGTAGGTTAGGGTTAGGGTAAGCATGGGGCTAGGTCCAAGGTTAGAGTTAGGGTTGGGATTAGCGCTAGCCCTGTTTACATCTCGTGACCCATGACGAAAAATGAAGCCGGCCTTATCATTTAGCACTAACTGTCGGAAGAAGATATCGTAAATTTCGGCGCATGCGCTATGGAACAGTAATTTTCGAACGACCAGACTGTTCTTATGTAAACTGAACCTAAATTCGAGACAAAGGGTCACACGTTCCACGATTCACCATAATTCTATTTTAATGATCACCAAAACTCATAAATATAAACTCCTAACTTATTAATTTAAAATATCCACAATAACAATTACAGACAAATGTAACTAATATCACCATGGACCGTGATAGATCACCAAAATTCTGGTAAAAAATCTAGAAGGATTCAAATATAGGCCTACTGCCAAACTAGTACAAAACGTAATTGTAAACGAATTTTAAACGAGTGCGCGGACAGGGGCGTAAATGTGGGGGGGGGGGGGTACACCCCCCCCCCCCCCCCAGGAAGAAAAATAGTCGGTCGCAAAATCAGTGCAGTCGGTCGCAAAATAAGAGCAGTCGGTATCAAAATAAGCGCTCACTGCATACGTCACGCTACTCACGCAAAACTTTAGTATAAAATAACCTTGTCAACTTATCATGTTTGAAAAAATGTTGTGTTTCACTCTTATTCTGTTGTGAGCATTTTGGTCTATGAACAAAATTTCCCCCAGGAAGAAAAATAGTCGGTTGCAAAATCAGTGTAGTCGGTCGCAAAATAAGAGCAGTCGGTTTGTCTATGTTTGTCTATGAACAATATTTCCCCCAGGGAGAAAAATAGTCGGTCTCAAAATAAGTGCAGTCACTGCAGTCGGTCTCAAAATTATGCATCGGCGACTCAATGAATTAATGAGGTAAACAAACAATGCCAGAATAGATCCCAAATACTATGTATTTGTGTGAATCCGTGAGCCTAAATTGCATACGTCACACAAAGCTATAGTATAAAATAACCATGTCTGCTTGTCATGTTTGAAAAAATGTTTGTCACTCTTATTCTGTTGTTAGTATGTTGTTCTATGAAATGTTTTTCCCTCATGGCAAAAAAATAGTCGGTCTCAAAAAAAGTATTCACCGCAGTCGGTCTCAGACTAAATGAATTAATGAGACAAACAAACAATTACAAAACAGGCGAAATTGACAGATAGGCCACAAGATTGGTTCAATTTGCCATGACAATGACCTAAATTTTCTGGCCCAGTTCCGAAAAATTAAAAGCTCGGTTACATATCTGAATTTTTTTCGCGCCTGCGGCGCTAGATTCCGTTATAACATTATTCTTCTGTTTTCTTATACTGTCTCAGCACTATGTCAACTCTTGCGAAACAGGCGGAATTGACAGGGGCAGATCTCGAGATTTTGTCCCATTGGCTCACATTTTTGGTCCTCTCGTCCTCAAGACTTTCTCCCAGCAATGACCCCAAATGCTAGGATATTGACTCAATTTTTCAAAATTTTCTCAGGTTGCTCAGTGTTATAGGCACAGGGCTAGCGCTAATCCCAACCCTAACCCTAACCCTGTACTCGCCAACAATGATCACGTGCCCTAACCTTACTTACATCTCAACGAGTCGGGTGTTCGATCCCTGCATATTGGCCGAGAAAGTTCTACCAGATTTTCCGGCGTGGTTTCCCCTTGTCAGTGATGCAGGACGGAGGGCCTAACAAGGACAGCTGTCTAGTCGTTCGGATGGGTCGAAAAACCGAGGTCCTGTGTACACATTGGCGTGCACGTAAACGATCCCTTGGCAGTTGGAATTCGATATAAGAGTAGGGCGTAGCGCCGCTGCCCGGGCAAAATTTCCCTCATAGCACACTGTATGGCCTATACCCGTCTTCATTAGCCCAGGTTAGGAGCAGAACAGTGAAACGTTAAACTCCATTTCATTTCATTTCATTTCACATCTCAACGACCTTGACGAAAATTGAACGGACCTTAACAAATAGATCTAGTCAGGTTTCTGCATCGTTAGATCTAAATATTAAGGCCACCTGCAGATTTTGTCATGGTCACGATCGTAAACAGGAATAGCGCTAACCCTAACCTAGCCCTAATCCCCTCCCACAATCTTGTCAACAAACACGTGGGTAGACTAATCACCGGAACACCGGAATTCAGCAGTTAGCACCGGAATTCACTTTGCAAATATCAGAATTCACCCGCAATGTCTTCCTAAATATATTTTGCATTAATATTAATAATGAATTGCTTAAAAAACGCCAAAAATCACCAGACATAACACGAGAAGTCACTTTGAAAATATCGGAATTCGCCCTTAAGACCTTCCTATTTACTAATATTTTGCATTTCACTTTGAAAACATATAAACGCCGGAATTCACTTTCAAAATATCAGAATTCGCCCGCAATGCCTTTCTATTTACATATATTTTGCATTAATATTAATAATGAATTACTTAAAAACACCAAAAATTACCGGAATTGACTTTGAAAACATATAAACACCGGAATTCACTTTCAAAATATCGGAATTCGCACTTAAGACCTTCCTATCTACTAATATTTTGCATTAATAATAGCCCAGGCATTTTAACTCAATTTCGCACCATTCCGGGCAGTTGCTACAATAGAAATGTCGACCTCGGTTTATGGTCGGTCTAGAAGTATATTAAAAAAAAAGTCCAAGTCCGAAATCCGTGCCCAAATGGATCAAATTGGCAAAAATCCAAAATACTAGCCGCCAATTTTGACTGGAAAATGCTAATTGTTATCCAATTATCATAGTTATATGATCGATTTTGGTATCAAAATATATCCTTTCGAGATAGCTGAATCCATTTCCATACACACTATGGTGATTAGTTATACCGCGGAGTCAATATTGGGAATTAATTCCAGATGGCGGTCAGTTTTGGCGGGAAAATTTCAATTTCACAAAATGACCACAATTGGTGTCAAAATAATATACGTTTTGGAGGCAGCTAATTCCATTTTCGACACATTTTCTCATCTTCGTAATTAACTGGTTCCCCTGGGTCAAAATAATGTGGAAATCCCATTGGAGATTTGGGGATGATTAAGAGTAGTCGAGTCTGCCTCGGATCTAATACCATGGCATTCATCAAGCATCAACTAAATTTCATTTAGATTCTCTGGCCGATCACTGCTCACTGCGTTAGCAGCGTAGCAAGCATGACAAAAAGGCCAGACTCAGCTGGCCGTGGACGCAGCGTCGTGGGCGTGTCCAAGTTCGATCACCAACCTCGAAAATTGGGCCAAGATGGCCAAACCTATTGAAACACACAGTGAATTTATTTCACAAAATGATTCAAATGATGAGACACCGATGGATCCCGATATGCAGTGAAACATTGGACATAAACTGTCTACCGTCATTCCGAAAATGACGTAAAGATAACGGGTATTGGAGGCCGACAATAATGAGCGGATTAAGATCCCTGGGTCCGTATTCAAAGGATATCTTAAGTCTAAGATAGTCACTTAACTACTAGATTTCACTTAAATATACTTCCTGTAAGTTAAGGGTAAGTGGTATTGAAAGGCAGAGTTAAGTATCGAATTTTCCCTTAAAGTTAAGCTGCCTTAACTTATTATGAGTGTTTAATCTTTTAGTGGTATTCAAAGGCCAGTTTAAGTGAGAAAAAACCCCACTTAACTTTAAGTGACCTAAGGGGTCTACCGGAGTACACAATATAGTAGCAGGCCCGTGCCGCCCGTAATGGCGATTTTAAAAGTTCGGGAATTGAGATTGAAACAAAGACAATGTCGCTGAGCGTAGCTGGCATCAAACGTTTTTTTTTTTTCATCATCAGCTTTGATTTTGTAGAGCCATAATAGTGTATAAGGTTACTACCACCGAAATGGTCAAGGTTTTTTTTCCCGATCATCTATCATGTTCGCATTGCTTAATCAGTCATGTTTGCCACGACTGTCATTATATAGTAAAGTTTGATAAATTTGACATTGCGATGACATCCCCAATATTTTAGTATGTTTACGGTAATATATCTCGAAAAAACAACATAGGAAGCTTCTTGAATTTTGTTGTCTGTAGTTTATTCATCCCTTGATTCTGTGAAATAAAAAAACATTTTGCCACCAAAGCTGGTTTGAGTGCTTTTTGATGCAAAATGGACGCACCCCTTTTCTGCGTGCTCAGTTAGTCTAGATAATTTAGTATGTTTACGGTTATAGTTTTTGGGGTGGGTTTTTTTTGTGTGTGTTTTTGTCTATTATATTAATATGCCTTAAAAATGTTATTTTCAAATATGGTAACAATTATTTTCGTGATAATTATATATATATATATATATGTTTTTATTTGCGCTAGGAATATATTTGCTAACTTCATTTCGAATCCGGGTGCTGAAATAAGAAATACGGGTGAGAGGTTCCGCTCGGTTCAATACTGAAACATTCAATCGAGTACCCCCTAAATCGTTTCTTGAAACCAACAAGGGTGTAACAGCTATTAAACACCGTATCAGACCACATTTTCTTTCATTAATTCTTTGAATCTGTGTAGTTCTTTAATTCTAAAACACATATTTATATACAATTATAAGTCAAAATAATAAATAGTGTTTATAGAGCAATACGCCGGCGAAATGTTTTTTTTTTAAACAGAATAAAAGAATAAAAGGGGTAAAAAAACCAAACGGTATATACATATATTGTAACCTGATTCAAATTAAATATTTGGATACATCTAATTACTCGTACAAACGCTCGGTTATAATTCAAGCATGCTTGCGTCATACAGTTGCGCAACACCATATCACAAGAACAACCACCTCTCTGAAAACACGGGTATGCCATTGATAGCATATAAGTTCTAGGGAGACCATACTCTCTGATAAAATCACACGGCTGAACTATTGGTTGGTCCGTGTCCAAATGTTTTATAGATTATTTATGGTCTTCACCCACTTCCGTCTGTGAAGTACCCGGATGTTTAGTTGCAAATGTCTACTGAAGAAATGTTCTGTGATGATTGTTCGATGACAGTGCTTTAAAATACATCTCTATCAGCAATCAACAAATTCTTCACAAGAATGGCGATGCTTGGTCAACAAGGACAATGTAGATTTGAGGACAAGTGGCCGTATATGAGACCTACTGTTCTCAAACTACTTCGTCAAGAACCTGTTAGTCGAGATGAATGGCACTATTTGTTCGAGGCGGTTCATTCCGTGTGTATGTGGGATGAGAAAGAGGGTCCACCTAAAATATATAAAGCTTTAGAAGATGACATCTTAGACTTTATACACCATGCTCAGACTAGAGTTTTACAACATAAAGATGACTCGGCCCTTTTGATAAGAGCTTACATTGCGGAATGGGGTAAATTCTTCACACAGTGTAATTATTTACCCATGCCGTTCAATCAGCTAGAAGCAAATATTTCTGGCAAGTTACATAACAGTACACAAAAGAAAGATCAAGACAGTCTTGTACGCAAGTTGATGCTGGACAGTTGGAATCAAAGCATATTTTCTAACATAAAGAAACGTTTGCAGGATAGTGCCATGAAGTTAGTTCATTCAGAAAGAAATGGAGAAGCCTTTGATTCACAACTTGTTATAGGTGTTAGAGAATCATATGTCAACTTAAGTTCTGACACTGATGACAAATTGAAAATTTACAGGGATAACTTTGAGAAAGCTTATTTGGAAGCCACAGAGTCCTTTTTCAAAATGAAGGCACCAAGATATTTATCTGAAAATGGTGTACAAAATTATATGAGTTTTGCTGATTCAAAGTTAAAAGAAGAAGAGCTGAGAGCCAGACGATATCTAGAGACAGGATATGGCTGTAATTCAGTGGCTGCTCTAACTGAATGCTGTGTTCGAGTCCTAGTTACTGATTTTAAAGAAACAATTTTACAAGAATGTGCAACCATGATTAAAAACAATGAAACTGAAAAATTGCGTCTAATGTTTACATTAATGGACCGTGTGCCTGATGGTATAGCCCCAATGCTTCTAGATCTTGAAGCCCACATAAAAAATCAGGGTTTAGCTGATATGATGTCTGCAGCCCAGTCTATTACTACAGATTCTGAAAAATATGTAGAGCAGTTATTAGATTTATTTAATCGATTCAGTAAACTTGTGAAAGATGCATTCATGGATGATCCCAGATTTCTCACGTCCAGAGACAAAGCCTATAGAACTGTAGTTAATGATACGTCAGTCTTCAGATTAGAAATCCCTGTGAAAAATAAGGGTGTAGCTGGAATAAAGACACAACCAGAGTCAAAATGTCCTGAACTTTTAGCAAATTATTGTGATATGCTTCTTAGAAAAACCCCACTTAGTAAGAAGTTGACGTCAGAAGAAGTAGAAGCTAAGTTACATGACGTGTTATTGGTGTTGAAGTATGTTCAAAATAAAGATGTTTTCATGAGATACCACAAGGCTCATCTGACAAGACGTCTTATATTAGACACCTCAGCTGACAACGAAAAAGAAGAAAACATGGTGGAATGGTTAAGAGAAGTGGGCATGCCTGCTGACTATGTCAACAAACTAGCTAGAATGTTTCAAGATATCAAAGTCAGTGAAGATTTGAATGTTGAATTTAAAGACATTCATAGAAATAATAACGAAGGATTAGCAGATGCCATCAACATAAAGATTCTCAATGCTGGCGCATGGGCTAGATCTAGTGATCGTGTATCTGTCACCTTACCAAGAGAATTAGAAGATTATATTCCTCAGGTTGAAGAGTTTTACAAATTGAAACACAGCGGTCGAAAACTTCAGTGGCATCATCTGATGTCTAATGGTATTATCAATTTTTGTAATGAAAGTGGTGGAAAATTTGATTTGGAAGTGACAACTTTTCAAATGGGTGTACTATTTGCTTGGAACCAAAGACCACAAGATAAAGTGTCGTATGAAAGTTTACGATTGGCTACAGAATTACCGGATGCTGAGTTGAGAAAAACTTTATGGTCATTGGTGGCTTTTCCTAAACTGAAACAACAGATTCTCTTATGCAGCTCTGACATAAAATCTCCTAAAGACTTTATAGACAGTACATTGTTTTGGGTGAATCAGAAATTCACAATGGTCAAAAATGGTAAAGTGCAAAAGAGAGGAAAAATGAATCTTGTTGGACGTCTTCAACTTTCTACTGAAAAGAGCAAAGAAGAAGATAATGAAGGCATAATGCAGCTTCGAGTATTAAGAGTACAAGAAGCTGTTGTTAAAATAATGAAGATGCGAAAGAGAATTACAAATGCAGCCTTACAAACTGAACTTGTTGAAATCTTAAAAAATATGTTTCTCCCATCCAAGAAACTGATTAAAGAACAAATTGAGTGGCTTATAGAGCATAAATATATGAAGCGTGATGGTGACAATATAAATATGTTTATATATATGGCTTAATTATTAATTTTATAAGGTTTATGTTTACATGTTTCTATCCAAAATGGAAGTATGAGTGACATTAAATACATGTTTATAAACAAAAATTAGAAAGTGTACATGTTATTAATAGTTATATATGTACATTGTTTAATTCCAAGAATGGCGATACCATTTTAAAAAATAATTTAATAATCTTAAAAGGGGCAGGATTGATATTAGTATTATAAAATTGTTTTGGATACATTTTTTATAGGGTTAGTTATGTCAACTGACAATTTGTTTTTGTTGCAAGCCATACAGTCTGATCTGAATTTAATAAGTGACTTTTAAAAAAAGAAAATTTAGGTAACCCTGTATGTACATGTACAACATTTACATATCTAGATATGAGAATAATAAACTGTCTTTTTATATATAAAGCAGTCTTGATATGGTTGTATATTATCTGTCACATATCCCTCAACTCAAATTATTAAATTTCTTATATAGTTGAAGCTATATATTGATTTTGTAAGCTTGGTTATTTGCATGATCAAAATGACGACCCCTTTTGAAAGACAGTGCATTTCTATGATTATTTGCAAGGAAAGGCATTAGTTGTTGTGATAGGACGAAACCTTGAGTGAACCTTGACAGGTCGAATTCTATGAAGACAAAATTTCTATCAAAGCACAGTCCATGGCATATGCCTGTCTCCTTATTAGTTCAGTTGGTGCAGAAAAATAGGCTATTAAAATAAACCACAATTACATTTCTATGATTATTTACAGAGTTATTGCCCTCGGCTTAAAACAATTGTAAATACTTTATGGAACTTGATGGATGTTTCAAAACTTGCATATACATTTATTGTATCAGTATGAACCTTACATGTACTAACCATCAATATGTTTTTGGTATTATTTACAGAGTTTGTTGTCATTGCTTTTTATACGCCCACATGGAAATGTGGATGTACATGTATATTGCCAGCACCCTCGTCCGTCTGTCGTCCACAATTTCTTGTGAACATTCTAGCGCCAAAAGTTATCATCCAATTGTTTTAAGATTGATATATGTTGTTTACATTTGTGAGAATTATTTAATTTCAATAATTTCCGTTAATTACTTCTAGAGTTATGACCCTTGTTTCACTTTGTTGCACCTTGTGAAAGCTGTAATATCAAAGGTTATCTGCCGATCTGTATAAAATTAATATGCGTCATTTAAATTAGTAAAAAGAAGAATCCTATTGAATTTCAGCAATTTCCGTTTATTACATCTAGAGTTATGGCCCTTGTTTCACTTTGTTGCATCTTGTGAATGCTCTAACATCAAAAGTTATCTGCTGATCTGTATGAATTTTATATGTGTCATTTAAATGCGTAAAAAGAAGAATCCTACTGAATTTCAGCAAATTTCCGTTTATTATATAAAGAGTTATGGCCCTTGTTTCACATTGTTGAACCTTTTAACGCCAAAAGTTATCATCTGATCTGTATGAAATTTATATGCATCATGTAGATTAGTGAAACGACGAAGTCTGTTGAATTTCAGCAATCTGATTAAAATACAGATATATATTTTGTTTCGTTTTTTATACGCCCACATTGAAATGTGGTCGTATATTGTCGTCGCCCCCGTCCGTCCGTCGTTCCGTCGTCCACAATTGCTTATGGGCTCTCTAGAGGCTACAGTTAATATCCGATTGACTTTAAATTTATACACAGTGTTTAAGGTCATGAGACGAAGAAGCCTATTGATTTTCAGCGATTTCCGATAATTACTGCCAGAGTTATGGCCCTTGATCACTTCAAAAAATCTTGTGGACGTTCTAGAGGTCAAAGTTAATATCCGATTGACTTCAAATTTATACACAGTGTTTAAGGTCATGAGACAAAGAAGCCTATTGATTTTCACCGATTTCTGATAATTACTGCCAGAGTTATGACCCTTGATCACTTTGAAAAATCTTGTGGACGCTGTAGAGGCTAAAATTATTATCCGATTGACTTTAAATTTATACACAGTGTTTGAGATCATGAAATGAAGAATCATATTGATTTTCAACGATTTCGGATAATTACTACAAGAGTTATGGCCCTTGATCACTTTGAAAAATCTTGTGACGCTCTAGATTGGTACACAGAGTTTAAGGTCTTGAGACGAACAAGTATATTGATTTTCAATGAATCTTTATGACTTGAACAGCTAAATCCATGATGTTTAAAGTTTTGTATACTAAACATTAGCATGGGACAGAACTTTATAAAAACCAAACAAATTCTAATGGTTTTCTGATAATTACTTAATGAGTTGTTACTCTTAATCAGATTTTAATGTATTATAAATGTTTCATTACCGAAAAAAGTAAAAATATGCGACAACTCTTGTTGACTGCCCGGACAATATAGCTGCTGTGGGCGTATGTTTGGTTGCCTGGCAACCTATCTTTTCTACTTTCGATGGTCTACACTACATGAAGATCTGACCAGTTGTACTGGGAGGTTGCATCAGGGGTCATATGAGCGTTTTTTGACCCTAGGGGTTTACCCACAGTTCCGTGCAGAGCACGCCAAGAACTCACCATAACAGACTCTTTTATTGGCTAATTCCTCACATCAACTAGAACATCGAAGTGTTGTGAAGACAGGTAAAACGAAATTTGAACTATAAAAAACGAAACGAAATAGGATCTGTATTTTAATCAGATTGGAATTTCAGCAATTTCCATTAATTACGTCTAGAGTTATGGCCCTTGTTTCACTTTGTTCAACCTTGTCAATGCTCGACCGACAAATGTTAACATTCGATCTGTATGACATTTATATGCATTATTTTGACTAGTGATGGCTCTTGTTTTACTTTGTGAAATTATCTTATAAATGCCCCCAATTACCTACAAAAGAATAAATATGCGACAACCCTTGTCCACCGCTGTTGCCAGATTTTCCAGCGTGGTTCCTCCATATCAGTGATGCAGGACGGAGGGCTTGACAAGGACAGCTGTCTAGTCGTTCGGATGGTACGAAAAACCAAGGTTCCGTGTACATATTAGCGTGCATGTAAAAGATCCCTTGACAGTTGGAATTCGATATAAGAGTAGGTCGTAGTTCCGCTGTCTGGGCAAAATTTCCCTCATAGCACACTGTATGGCGTATGCCCGTCTTCATTAGCCCAGTTCGGAGCAGAACAGTAAGATGTTAAACCCCATTTCATTTCATTTTGTCAACTGCTCGGACGATTTAGCTGCTGTTGGCGTATGTTTCGTTGCCTGGCAACCTATCTTATAATGTTGTAGTAAGATACTTGTAGTAAAGAGTCAATTTGAAAAAAAGAATGACCAGTTAGACTAATGGTATCTGATCTGTGTTTTGTCTCAGACAAACCATTTACTTTACCAATATTACCAATATTAACTATTGTTAAAAAATAAACAAATTAAGACAAAATATATTGATTTGAAAGATTTACTGTACATCATTGTAACAAGAAATCTGACAGTCTATCCAAAAATGGTTGAAATTATTATCATTTTAATTTAATGTATCAATTATTAGATGTTTAAATAGTAATACTTTGATTTACACTTTGTAGGTTATTTGTGATAATAAACATATCTCCAAAATCAAAAATATGTGACCAGGTGAAATATTTCATATTTTTATTTGAGATGTAAGGTTAATTTCTTTATTGTAGGTCTACAGTATGAAATGTTAAGGGTCACCAAAAGTATGTAAACGGTTTGGGGATTATTATGATATTCAGAAAATCAGAGTGGATCTGCATTTACTATAATTTCAAAGTGCACCCCTCTTTTTAAAATTCCTATAAATATACTGTACTTGAGAAAAGTAAAATAAAAGAAACCTTGTAATTAAATCAATTTGTTATGTACATGTAAACTATGACATGTTGTGTCGATTTCTTTTCTTTGTAATATGAATATGCTGAGAACTTGGAATAAGCTATTATGGGAATTATTGATTACAATGTTCAGAAAATCAGATTTGATCTATATTTATTATAATTTTAAAGTGCACCCCTCTTTTCAAATTTCCTGCAAATACATTGTACTTACGAAAAGTGAAATAAAAGAAACTTTGTAATTAAAGGACAGTATTAGTGTCAGTGATTGTCACATTTGTGATAGAACTGATTAAACAGGTTCCAGATAAAATTTTAACACACTGATCATTGCTACGATAAATTGCGTTATGCAGATTTCAAGAAACTGAAGTGACAAACGCAAAAGGAAAACACGAGTTATCGTTATTGTTCTATATAACTGACTGAAGTGACGAGTGATAACTCTGGCAAATTTCTACTCACCAATAATTCCTTCGATGACCAAAAGTTTTGAGGCTGTCAGATGATATCTGGATATTGAATGTCACTAGATAAGGGAAAATGAGAAAAATAGAAATAGTCCATACATTCCCATGTTTTCATTCATTCTGTATTTTATAAAAACATGGTAATGCACAGACTTTTTCTACATTTCTCGTTTTCCCTTATCTAGTAACATTGAATTACTTTTTATACGCCCACATTTTCATTTGGACATATATTGTCGTCGCCCTTGTCCGCACACAATTTGTTTGTGGGCACTCTACAGGTCACAATTTTTATCCAAATTTGATTAAACTTGAAATATGTGTTTATAACACAACGATCTAAGTTCCTTTCGACATTCGCACATATCGGTCCGTAACTTCCTGGATTATGGCCCCTGATTGAACGAAAAATCACATTTTTAGCGTGCAGATCCTCTGGAGGTCACAATTTTTATCCGATTTTACAAATCATTCGAATATATCATCCTTACACCATGCTGATGGTTGAGTTTGAATTTTGTGAAAATCGGACAGAAACTGCTAGACAAAATGGCTGCTCCCTGTATGCAAACAGTGTTAAAGTATGTAATATCAAGGTTGTGGACCCTCTAGGGGTCACACAATTGATCTGATTTTGATGAAACTTAAAACATGTGTTTATATCCCAAAGATCTTGGTTCCTTTCGATATTCGCGCATATTGGACCGTAAGTTCCTGGAATATGGCTCCCGATTTTAAAAATCGTTTAAACATATCATTGTTACACACTGATGATAATTGAGGTCGAATTTCATAAAAAATCGGACCGAAACTGCATGACAAAGTATGTAATACCAAGGTTGTGGACCCACTAGAGGTCACAATTTTTGTCTGAATTTTTATTAAACTTAAATTATTTTTATATTCCAAAGATCTCAGTTTCTTTCAATATTTGCGCATTTCAGACCATAACTTCCTGGATTATGGCCCTGATTGTACGAAAAATCATTTTAACACTGTTTGCATACAGGGAGCAGCCATTTTGTCTAGCAGTTTCTGTCCGATTTTCACAAAATTCAAACTCAACCATCAGCATGGTGTAAGGATGATATATTCGAATGATTTGTAAAATCGGATAAAAATTGTGACCTCCAGAGGATCTGCACGCTAAAAATGTGATTTTAGCTTATCTTGTTATCTATCCATCTCTTCCAAAATGTGGGCGTATCTTGCCTGGTTTGAATTATCAGATATCCTCTTACAGCCTCACATGACAACTTTTGGTGTTCGAAGGAATTATTAGTAAGCAGAAATTTGCCCGTGTATCTGCTATCACTCATCATTTCAGTCAGTTATATAGAAGTATAACACGTGTTTTTCTTTTACTTTCGTTACTTCGTTTCTTGAAATCTTCATAACCGTCTATTGTAGCAATGATCTCGGTGTTAAAATTATATTTGTGATAATGACTGACACCAATATTGTCCTTTAAATCAATTAGTTATGTAAACTATGACATGTTGTGTAGTAATGCATATGCTGAGAACTTGGAATAAGCTATTTGTTTGTAAAGGGGTGGTGAGTGAGTTTTAAGCTCAGTTAAACAATTTTGTAGAAAGTAATAGGGTACTTGTGTAAAGGAAGTGAATATTATTTGCGATTAAATAATTAACAATCCTTTAGAACTAGATTTGTCAACAATGTCTAGATCACTGATATACACTTTTATATGTTATGATAAGAATCCAGTATTTTGTACAAAATTGTTCCTTCATTGATGAAGCTATAGTAACCCTTAATTACCTCATTAATATGACAGCCAGTATATAATATTAAAATAGGTCAACTATATACTTGGTATAATATGATAACAAAAATTTCTGAGAATTATTACCTAAATTTTATTGTGGTGATCCATGTGTGGGTCACAAAGCAAGAAGAAATTTTTGAGTAATTTAGTCAAATAAAAATAGAAAGGGAGCAAGACCCATATGATTTAAAATCTTAATGTTATTAATTTTTGTAAAATTATTAATGGACTGTTATTATTATAAAATAATCAAGCTTTAAGTGAATTGTTTTGTTTTTCAATTAAATAATTATCTAAAAAGATCAATCCAAGGCATCTCCTTAGCCCGTTTCCAAATTTTACAAAAAGACTTCTGGTCAATGCAGACAAGACTGCTCCCATTTCTCAATAGTATTCATATGACTAACAGAAGGCATACATGTAGTCCATTCACATTTTCTTTGATTTAATATGCTTTTATAATGCTGCATATTTGATCTGGAAAGTGTACAGTTGGCATCTGTAGTCAGTTCTCATATCTCAGTAGTACTCTACAGAGCAGGATGTTTTCTGATTGCTAATTGCTGGGTACCTTCCCATATAGCCTACACTTTCTGACTTTAAAGCATGACACAGGACAGAGATCTTGACAGAAATTATGAAAACTTTGTAGAATAATATGTCCTAAGGCTTTAGTCATTTCCAAAATTATTGTATCCAAGCTCCATAAGCCATTCTATCCCCTTTCTGATCAATGCTTAGATACAATCATAGATAAACTTTAAAAATTTTATATTTTGGACCTCTCTCTTTCGCATTTTTTTTTTTCAGTTATTTTTTTTCCAATTCTGCATCATCCTGTGGCTAGGTTACTATAAATACTTCCTTACTCTATAATATTTATACATCTTGAAATGAAATGACTGTGTTAACTTCACCCCTGTAATTTATCGCTTCTGGAGAAATTCTTCTGTAACTTCTAAATTGTTGAATACCTTTATAAATGTCTCTGCCCTGCTGACTAAGCTGGTTATTTGTATATGTTTCACTGCCAGGCAACCAACATTTGTTCTGCAAATGTTAGAGTTTTCAATATAATTTTAACAAGCCAACAGTGAGGCTGATGTCCCCCGAGGAAATCCCAAAATAAATAGATGATACATATTAATTAATCACACATTTATTTTTTTCAAAAGTATGGACCAATCAAGCTTCATCACTCTCTATCAGAAAGAATCAAGATTATCTTGTCCCAAAGCATCGACCAATGAAATTGATTAGCTCTGCTTAGCTTCAGCTCGAAATGGTAATCATTGAATTCAGTCAAGACATTCACCTAATGAACATCTACATTAAGTTTAAACATTCTACCTCAATTAAAAGCAGAGTTGTTATGTTCCAAAGTCTTGATCCATCAAATTGCTTATTGCTCCTTAGCCTAAGCAGAACATTCTCACCATCGAACTTAGTCAAGGTAATGATATAATGAATCTATATTCGGAGTATCATCGCTCTCACTTCATTATAACCAAAGTTATTGTGCCCCAAAGCATCAACCAATCAGCTTGCTTATCTCTGCTTACAATAAGCAGACAATGTTCATCATCGAACTCCATCAAGGCATTCACCTAATGAACGTTATTGTGACCAAACAAATTGCTTATCGCTCTGCTTACCCTGAGCAGAAAATGGTCATTATCGAACTTAGTCAAGGTATTGATGTAATGAAACTATACACCAAGTTTCATCACTCTCACTTAATTAGAACTAAAGTTATTGTGTCCCAAAGCATCAATCAATCAAATTGCTTATCTCTGCTTACCCTAAGCAGAAAATGCTCATCTTCGAACTCCATCAAGGCATTGACCTAATAAATACCTACACCAAGTTTGAACATTCTAGCTCAATCAGAAAGAGAGTTATTATGTGTCCCAAAATGTGTGACGGATGGACAGACAGGCAGACGGATGAACCCATTTTAATAGTCCCCTGCTTTCTTCGAAAGGCGAAAGGCTGGGGACAAGAATCATAAATAACATTAGGATTGTTAATTGTCCACCCGCCTTTCGGCGAAAGCAGGGGACTATTAAAATGGGTCTCTCTGCCTGTCTGTCAGTCACACTTTTTGGGACACAATAGCTCTCCTAATTGAGGTAGAATGTTCAAACTTGGTATAGGCTTCATTAGGTGAATGCCTTGATGCTTTGGGACACGATCATTTTCGAAGAAAGTAGGGGACTATTGAAATGGGTCTGTACATCTGTCTTTACATTCTAATTGAGGTAGAATGTTTGAACTTGGTGTTGGTGTTTATTAGGTGAATATCAAGATGGAGTTTAAAGATGAGCATTTTCTGCTTAGGGTAAGCAGAGATTAGCAATTTGATTGGGCGTCGATGATTTGGGACACGCTAACTTTAGTTCTATTTAAATGAGAGTGATGAAACTTAGTGTATAGTTTCATTACATCAATACCTTGACTAAGTTCGATAATGACCATTTTCTGCTTGGGGTAAGAAGAGCAAGAAGCAATTTGATTGATTGATGCCTTGGGACACCATAACTATAACTTTAGTTTTGATTAAGTCAAATGAGAATCATTATTAAGTCCCTAGTCAACATCAAATCCCCTTAGCAAAAAAATCTAAACGGTCAACCCCCTACAAAATTATGATGAGGAGATTGCCAAATGTGGTCCCCATTGTGCCTATAACGCTTGGAACAAACGGAATGTTGATAAAAAAAAAGAAAAAAGCTACAGCCTGTCATGGGGCATATGATTGCTAGTCTGAGACCAGATTGGCACTTTCCCACAAGTCCTGTAGAAAAAAACGATGTAGGCCCAATTCAAAATGCTTTGCACGAGGACACTTTTAGCAGAAAGGGGTAAATATAACAATTATGTTGTTTGTCATTTTGTAATCATTTTGACTAGATATAACAAGTATGCGTTGGAGGATTACTTTTAGTGAACTGGCATTACCTCCGTGGGGATTTTATTCGTTGAATACACTACGAGATGAAAACAATTATATTTCAGGTCGTCAAATCGTCTCGTTATTCCGATTGAAAAATGTTATTGCGTCTGGTTAATCGGGTATTTTAATCATGTGATTGCAAATAAGTCAAAATGGTGGACATCAAAACAGGTTTGCAAAAGTAGTCAACATTTCAATTGTAAATAACTAATTGTTTGACAAATTACCCACTATCCAATATGTCATCAACTACTAAAGATCTCTCTCAAAAAAAAGAGGAAGGAGGTGAAAGAAATACTGGGATTGGCAAAATAGAACATCCGGAGGTTCCTGCAAGCGTCGTAGAATTATGTCGAGAAACATTCCAAAAATCTGCAGAATACGTGCAGGGTGAACTTGAAGGAACTGTAGAAGATTACCGTTTGTTGGAAAAAATGAATAAAGTTACAGTGTGTAAATATTCCGAGATGAAGCATATAGCAATGAATATAGAGACTGCACTGAAAGAACTGAATTCCAAGTACAAAAATCTTCAACCGTATTTAGAGCAGATTGATCAAATAGAGGATAGTGTTGCATGTCTTGAACAAGCAGCTTATAGTTTAGACCACTACTCCAAACGTTTAGAGGCAAAGTTTAAAACACTGGAGAAAAAATGATTCAAATTTAACTAAATATCACTCAGTGGAATTTATTTGTGACTCAGTGTAAAGTGGTTCTGTAAATTTAAATTCAGTATTGATTTACTGATGTTAATTTGTGTAAATAAAACGTATCAAGTATTTTGGTTGTTCTGTTCTATTGGAAGTCAGACCCTAATCTAATTAAAATCAGATTACAATTTCTTTTTGATTATTTTTTCTGATTTTTACAGTACATTGTGAGATAACCAACTTTCTGTCACAATCTTGTTCAGTCAGTGAAAATACACTATTCAACTTGATATAGTTACCAATCAGATTAAAGGGCATATCCAAAATAATGTTACCAGCATTGAATTGTTCCCTTTCCAAACTAAATCTAGCCAATCTTATACCTTTATGAACCATCACCAGATTCACCATCGAATCTACAATTTTAGTAGGTAGATAGAGGTGGGTGATTTCACCAGTTATCCCCTTTAGCAGTAACTAGTTTCGTTCAGAATTGAACTCTTCAGACTGATTTATCTCACTTAGTGAGGTTCTATATATACTGTGGGGAAACCCCGGTGAGATTTCACCAGGGTTTGTTAGTTTACCGGGGTATTCAATACTGGGGTTTGGTATTTTACCGGGGTTTCAGCAAGATCATCAGAAATAACTGGCACATCCTCCACAGCTCGAACGATTGCAGGACTATTTTCCCCACAACCTTGCTTAACAGCCTTCAGACGAAATCCGTCCCTCAAAGATCTTCTAACCTCAGCCACTATTAAGGACCCTAAACCCTTGCCACAAGTAAGCGGAAAAAGTTACAATTTTCTAGAATCCACTTTTAACTATCCCCAATGCAATTACTGCAACACGCTCAAAGGAAAGAAAACCTTTCACTCCAGCAAAACTGGCAAATCTTACATTTGCAACAGCAATTACACTTGCCATAGCCGAAACGTGATCTACCTGCTTACTTGCAATTTCTGTCTCAGTCAGTATGTAGGAGAAACAAAAAGATTGTTTAGAATTAGACTTAAAGAACACTATGCTGATATCACCCATAAGAGAGACACCCCAGTTGCCTCTCACTTCCACCTACCGAGCCGTTCTAGTCGAAACCTTGACTACCAAATAATTAAACAATTGGGTACCAATCCTGACCTCCAAAAATCTACCACCAATAGACGCGCCATTGAACTTCATTGGATCATTAGATTGAAAACTTTCCAACCACACCGTATCAATGACAAAATCTGAACTTGGGCATCCCCCTATTTTTTTCTTTTGTTTACAATTTTAGTAGTTAACATAGCAAGGGCTTAAGTCATACCCTAGACCAGTGGTTCTCAACCTTTTTTTGCCAACAGTACACCTTGGAACACATGAAAAAAAATAGCAGCACACCTGGCTAAATGTATATGAAAAATATTTGTATTTTGCAAAATAAAAACATGGTAAGTCAGATGGCATACAACCGTAGACAGAGACTAGTTGTAGACACATAGAATGACTCTAACTAAATAAAGAAAAACACAGCTATGAACTTATCAGTAGACACCCGTGAATACTCACCTGGGATCACATGGTTTTTTTTTTGTATTTTCATAGTGTGACGTTCAAAATGGCGGGGTATGGTTAGGTAGATCTCGTGGCACACTGGTTGAGAATCACTCAAATATCCACCAAGTCTTTAGGCTCGCCATGGTCACATTCTATTTTGTCCTTAACACTATTTCTCTCCACAGCTTGATGGATTACAACCAGATTTCATGTATGTTAAGTCAGGGTTGAACGATATACCATTTTTATACGCCCACATTTTCATGTGGACGTATATTGTCGTCGTCGCCCCTGTCCGTCCGTCCACAATTTGTTTGTGTACTCTCTACAGGTCACAATTCTTGTCCGATTTTGATGAAACTTGAAATATAGGTTTATCCCCAAAAGATCTTGGCTACTTTCGATATTGGCATGTATCGGATCGAAACTTCATGGATTATGGCCCCTGTTTGTTCGAAAAATCACGTTTTTAGCTTGTGGACCCTATAGAGGTCACAATTTTTATCCGATTTTGTTGAAACTTGAAATGTAGGTTTATAACCCAAAGATCTCAGTTCCTTTCGATATTCGCGCATATCAGACCGTAATTTCCTGAATTATGGCCCCTGATTGTACGAAAAATCGTGTTTTTAGCTTGTGGACCCTATAGAGGTCATAATTTTTATCCGATTTTAAAAACCGTATAATTATATCACCGTTACACCCTAAGGACGACTGAGTTCGAATATCGTTTAAATCGGCCCAAAATTGACAGACAAAATGGCTGCCGTTCGTTCTCAAATAGCGTAAAAATATGGTATATCAAGGTTGTGGACCCTATAGAGGTCACAATTTTTATCCAATTTTGTTGAAACTTAAAATGTAAGTTTATTACACAAAGATCTCAGTACCTTTCGATATTCGTGCATATTGTACGAAAAATCACGTTTTTAGCTTGTGGACCCTATAGAGGTCATAATTTTTATCCGATTTAAAAAATCGTATTAATATATCACTGTTGCATCCCAAGGACGACTGAATTCGAATTTCGTGAAAATCGGCCTAAAACTGATAGACAAAATGGCCACCCTTCGTTCTCAAATAGCGTAAAAATATGGTATATCAAGGTTGTGGACCCTATAGAGGTCACAATTTTTATCCGATTTTGTTGAAACTTGAAATGTAAGTTTATACCACAAAGATCTTGGTTCCTTTCGATATTCGCGCATATCGGATTGTAACTTCCTGAATTATGGCCCCAGATTGTACAAAAAATCACGTTTTTAGCTTGTGGACCCTATAGAGGTCATAATTTTTATCCGATTTTGTTGAAACTTGAAATGTAAGTTTATAACCCAAAGATCTCGGTTCCTTTCGATATTCGTGCATATCGGACTGTAATTTCCTGAATTATGGCCCCTGATTGTACGAAAAATCGTGTTTTTAGCTTGTGGACCCTATAGAGGTCCTAATTTTTATCCAATTTAAAAAAACGTATTATTATTACACCGTTACACCCTAAGGACAGCCGAGTTTGAATTTCGTGAAAATCGGCCCAAAACTGACAGACAAAATGGCTGCCCTTCATTCTCAAATAGCGTAAAAATATGGTATATCAAGGTTGTGGACCCTATAGAGGTCACAATTTTTATCCGATTTTGTTGAAACTTGAAATGTAAGCTTATAACCCAAAGATCTTGGTTTTTTTCGATATTCGCGCATATTGAATTATAATTTCCTGAATTATGGCCCTTGATTGTAGGAAAAATCACTTTCTTCTTGGCTTGTTCTCTATCCATCTCTCGAAAATGTGGGCGTATCTTGCCTGGCAGCCGCTGGTGTTAGTATGTCATGATAAAATCATTGGCGATTTTATCAGATTGGACTTATTTAAAAATATTGAAAAACCGGTATATCATGATAACCAAAATTGTCGCAATATGATAATTATCGTGTCCCAATAGTATTATTAAGTACCAGCTGGTCAAGGGTAAATCTCTGGCGTTAGTAACAATAATTTAACATTGAGCGATGATTTTCAGCTCAAGTATTCAAAATTTGACTTCTTAAGACACACATATGAATTATCACAATAATAATATCCAGATCTGCTACTGTGCCATTCAGATATGAAAGCTTTCATATTCATCATCACGTGTCATGGATTATATCTAGTATCTTAAAAGAAATAATTATCAAAATCAGTCAAAAACTCGCGAAGTTACAGGTCTAAATATAGTTAGAAACATTGCACCAGCGCAAAAAATAAATGAGACTTGTGTTGTTGTAATCAGAATGACATCCCGTTCCAGAAGTTTCAGAAAAATGGATCAATCTGTTTAAAATCGGGACGGGTGAGAAAATGAAATGAAAATGGCGGGAAAGAACTCAAAAATTGCGGAAAAATATGGAAAAATTAAATGAGATAACTTTGAATGGTAATTAAATTTTTGGAATCAGACTAACCTCAGCTGTTCAAATATTTAGGTTAAATTTGTAAATTTTGAAAATTATTAAGGACATAAATTGTCCCGTAAAGAACTTTGTCGGTACGTAAAAGGTCGAAATTTTGAAATTTTCAAATCCCAAAAAATTGACCCTTGTGGGAAATAGGAGACGAATTCTCCCAACTACGGCCTATTGTGTTTATTTTGACATCTGTTAAGGTGGATTTTTCACTGTCTTCCATATTCAATTCCAAATGGTGACCAGCAAATGAGGGAAATCAAAATTCTGCTCTAAACATTTTTTACGCATTAGGTTCAATCAACAAACTCCATATTATAATCTGTAATTTCTTAGCTAGTACAAAAATAAATATTGAAGGCAATCGGACCGACTTTTTGTCGATTTTTTTGAAAACCTTGATCCTTAATTTCTAATGACATCGTTGAAGTTGGATCAACCAGCTCTACTTATACTTACATTGCTACTTTAATGAAAATCGTACTAATATTCAAGAAGTTATCATGTTGATTTTACTTCTGGGGTGAGATGTTAATGACGTAATATTCGAATTTCGAAAATCGGAAATAGCAGATTTAAAGTAAATGTGTTAAGATACTCATAGAAAAAAGAATTAGTAAAATAGATCAAAAAGTCACAAAGTTACAGCTATGTAGGTCAATATTTTCATCAGTAAATTTTGGTGATTTCGGATTCGTAAAACGTTTTGAAAATATATTGATTCCAAAGCCACCACCTATTCTTAGAAGGAGGCTAACCAGAAATGTATTAATTTCGGAAATATGAGACCAATTCAAGAAATGCCGGACAATTTCAATTATTTTCAAGGGAATTTTTCACTCGTAAACAACTTTGTCAGCAAAGGTGAAATTTGAATTTTTGAAATATTAAAATACCAAAGATTCGACCATGAGCCAGGCTATCCTGAAATGTATTAATTTCAGAAATAGGAGACGGGTTGAACATACTACGGCCTATTGTGTTTATTTGCTATGTAGATTTTTCACTATTTTTCATATTCAATTCAAAATGGTGACCATCAGTTGACCTAAATCAAAATTCTGCTCTGAACGTTTTTTAGGCAATCCTTCAATGATTCAGAAAATGTAACTCCTATGTCTGTAAGTAAAATATTGCAAAAGCCTTAGGGATTTTTCACGTTTCAAGATGGTGGCACTTCCGGTTCTATCAGTAATTCCTCAGCTAGTACAGAAAAAAAAATTCAAGGCAATCTGACCTATATTTTGTAGATTTTTTTGAAAACTTCGATCCTTAATTTCTCCAAGGGGAGATAAATTAGAAAGTTTCTAATGACATCTTTCGAGATGTATTTTTACATTCCAAATTTCATGAAAATCGTGCAACTATCACCGAATAGTGATATTAAATTTAATTTCCTTTTCAAATTTTATTTAAAGAATGGATAAATTATTTCTTAATTTTATATTCATCAATATTGCTGACTTTGTATTACCAGTCTGTCTGTCTTTACTTTAATGTTAATATTTTGATTTAAAGTCTATAAAGTAATTGCCTAAAAGCTTGATTAGTCCTGAATGTGTTATAATCTTTGATGCCTTAAGCAAAGAGTTATAGAATTAACAATAGTCACATCAGTGCCAATCAAGTGTCAAAGCTTTTACTTTATTTATGACTTTAAAGCTTTTTAACATTCTATTTATTATGAAACTTAAACCAATGAAATTTATTTATATCTATATCAATTTAACCTTTTCATTTATTGGTTACAATATATTTTTACCCCTAATTTTATCTATCATCTGATTTGTTGAAATGATGTCCTTTAATTGTCTGTATGCAAATTAGTTGCTTTAAAATACCCCTACATACAGACAAGAGGCAGATAGAAGGAAAAACATACAAGGCAGATAGATGAAAAATATACAGAGATAGAAAATATACAGATAGATGGAAAACATGAAAAGATGAAAAATATACAGGGACATCAGATGAGATAGGCTTAAGACATTTAGTAACCCTTTGATATGATCTTGTAAATAATGTATTTTTAAAACTGTATATAAAGTAATATTGAAATGGATTTGGAATTGGACTTATAATGCAGTGACCACCTTCACTATAATACTTCTCCACAAATGAGCTATACACCCCCAATCCTAGCTCATCCACATCTACAAATTGTCCATATGTATGAAATATTACATATGTATCACCTGGGTGCGTATTCAAACCAAGAATAGCCCCGAAACCGTGGATGATACAACTATTGAAGAAGTTGTCAAATAGGTGTCAACTTCCGGAACGAAATCACAGCAACGAATTTTCGCAATTCGAAAATCTGAAATTGCAGGTGAAAATGACTTTCGTCAAGGTACTCAAAGAAAAAAAGAATTGGTAAAATAGGTAAAAAAACAACAAAGTTACAACTAAGCCTTGTTAGTTTTTTTGTTTGTAAAATTCGGTGATTTCGAATTCGTAAAACGTTTTGAAAATATATTTAAAAAATACTCACCACCCCATTTTTTTTTTTAGGGGGGGGGGGGTAGGTCAAAGTTTGTATGGTTAGATTCTGAGAAGCCTGATTTGCAGAAAATACACACAAATAAGATAATAATAATCTTAACAGAAACAATCGGCTTTCATATGTAATATGAAAGCTTAAAGATACATTATGGGAGATAAGATAAAGAGATGGCATGGGTTCTCGCTATAATAGTTAAAAACTAGATAGTGTAAAGGTAATTTGCTGAAAATTTCAGTCAAATTGATCCACTATGAGCCGAGAACGAAGCGGGTGAAATTTTCGCATAGTCTCGGTCATCATTACTAAAATCATTAATATAAACAGCATAGTCTCGATTATCCACTGTTTTGATTTAATTATCAAAGGCCGTTAAGCGGCATATAGGAATCTAATCCAGCCAACATCCAAGGCTAGCCTTGACATCGAGAGTTTATTATGGTCTGGATAAGTTAATTAATGTCTAATTGATAATTTAGATAACATTTCAGGCCTAAAGAAAGACTTGTAATAAGCAGATTTTGCTCTTGCATAATGCATGTTTAATAATAAGGGTTCTTATAAAGCTAGACTCCAAACAGCATTGTTTGCTCAATGAACACTGAAACACAAACAAGTAAGTTTTGAGTTTTTGTTTGAAGATGTTTTGAGATGGAGCAGTCCATATATGTAGTGGCAGAGAGTTCCATGTATGTGCTGCATTATAAGAAAATAATCTGCAGCCAAAGATTTTCAGGTTATACTTTGGAACAGTTAATAAACACTGGGAACCAGAACAAAGTGATCTATATTCAGAGTATTTATGAGTTACATTACACAAGTAGCCTGGTGCTGTGCCGTGTATGCACTGATAAATTAGGGTTAGAATAGAACTTTTTGGAGATGGTGACGATTCGTGCAGCTGTATTCTTAACTATTAGAGGCGATGAATGTTATCAGCCAAGAGGCTGTTGCAGTAATGATGTCGTTTATCGTGATATTTGATAAATTATTATCACAATATTTTTTTCCATTATCGCCCAACTCTATGTTAAAGGAGCTAAATCGCTTATATTTGGGACCTACAAATTGACACTATTAAATGGGTCGCCACGTATATTATTATGTAATATGAATGTAAATAAACTGATTTACATTCAATCGTTTCTGTTTTTACTCTAATTTCAAATCAGTTATGTTCGGCGAAATATGCCAGAAGTCTCAATCGAATGGCAATCTCTAGCGACTGGTTATTCCAGTCTATACCGATAGTATTTATTGTGCATGCTATTCAGATAAGAATATGGGGTCACCGTTTGACATGACTTGTGCAATATGTCTAACCTCGTTCTTCTGGTCGCTTGTTACAAATTGCGCTGAAACACATTATGGTACACGATTCGTGTACCAATCGTAAAATGTTTATTTTGTCTTAAATATTGGATATCAGAAGCCCATCTTTTCCCGGTAAGATCACAACACCAATGTTGATTAAAATTGACAAATAATTCATGTTTTCAATGTCGAAGATTTTGGATGATACTGAGTTAGAGACTTAGCTACTTAAATTAAGTTTCATCCCCCAAATGAAACAGATTTAGACATTTTTCATTTCTTTTGAATCTTTTCTTGCGTAGGTGTAATGCGGCACATATTGTGATTTAAAGTATGGTAGGTGCACTTGGAAGAAGCAAATTTAGACATTTTTTACTTGATCATTTAATGTCAATGTTTGTTATCATTCTTGACATGATTTTTCCAATCCACGAAGATTGATTCTTTGGGGGGATTCCTATAGAAATTCATAAATATTTACTTACACATTCTGAACTGAAACCTTCATATACATCAAAACTTGTTTATTGGGGCTTAATTTTAATGCAATTTTAGGAGTCTACATTTTAACTTTTAAAGCTTGTGAATACAATAGGCCACAGAACAGATTTCTCGAGATAACCTTATTAAAACTATGAATTTTTAGATCACATATTCTCAGAGTTGTCCCACATTTTATATTCAATTCCATGAAATGTGATGAACAACATTCATTTTTGCTTTCTAGCTAGTATGACAGTCTGACAAGCACCTGTACATCTATTACTTATATATTATTACAGGAGCTGTATTAAATCTTGCTAGGGGAATTATATTGTCTCCTTCTGTTTACCATGATGAACCAGACAGTACACTTAAAAACTTTGATGAAAATTTGTTAAAAGTTTTAGCTTGTCCACTTTCCAAAAAGCCATTGAGGTAATTATTTTTATGTCATCACCTCTGTCCATCCAATTGTTTACATCAGGTATTTTGTCCCCCGTCTTTCGAAGAGAGCAGAGGACTATTAAAATGGATCTGTCCATCTGTCTGTTGGTCCATTACATTTTTTAGGACACGATAACTCACCTTCTAATAATGTTCAAACTTGGTGTAGGTGTTTAATAGGTGAATGGCTTGATGGAGATCATTGGTAAGCATTTTCTGCTTAGGGTAAGCAGACATAAGCAATTTGATTGGTTGATGCCTTGGGACGTGATAACTTTAGTTCTGATTAAGTGAGAATGATGAAACTTGGTGTATAGTTTCATTACATCATTATCTTGACTAAGTTTGATAATGAGAATTTTCCGCAATTTGATTGATCGAGACTTTGGAACTCAACAACCTTGATTCTAATTGAGTGATAGTTGTGGAACTTTGTGGAAAGTTTCATTACATCAATTCATTAACAAAGTTTGATGCTGTGCATTTTCTGCTTAGGCAAAGTAAAGACTTCAATCTGATTGGTCGAGACTTTGGAACACACAAACTCAACTTCTAATTGAGCTAGAATGGTCAAACTATGTGTAGGTCACACTGATCAGCAGTGAAAAGTCGCTAGGCTGCTGCAATCATTGATAGGGATGACATCGAAGCGGGTTAATGAGCGTGCAATATTAACTTTTTTTTTCTTGTGCAAATTAAATTCTATAACATTTTTTTTTAAGTATTAGGAAAAAAAATAAAGCTGTTTGAAGTATAGATAAAAAATATTTATTATTTAGTGTAAATGGGTAGATAAAATGAGTAAAAGGCACCATACATGTACTTGAACTTATAAAGGTCAGTCATCTATTACATAGTTATAAGAAGGCTTTCACAATACCTCTGTGAAACAGATTGGGTGTAGGTGTCTATTAGGCGAATGCCTTGACAGAGTTCAATCATGCGCATTTTCTACTAAGGCTAAGCCAAGATAAGCAATTTGATTGGTTGAGACTTTGGTTCTAATAGGGTGAGAACGGAGGAACTCCGAGTATAGATCCATTGTATCAATATCTTAACTAAGTTCGATGATGAGGATTTTCTGGTTAGGGGTTAAGTAGCAATAAGCTGTTTGATTGGTCAAGACTTTGGAACATAACCGTGGAAATTCAGAGTCGTGCATTGATTTTTGTAGGGTTACTGCCCCTGTCATCAAAACCTTGTAAACATTTTCCAAAAATGCTATTGAAGTAAATATTTTTATTTGCCCACATTTCATATGGGAGTGTCTTTGAAAAGATAAATTATTTGGCCTTAAATCAATGTGTATAAAGGGAGAAAATGGAGGAAAACTGAAACATCTCAATGTCCACAGCAGTTAAGTTCTATGAGGGGACCACAATGGTTGATGCATTGTGAATTATTAGGTGAATAAAAAAAACAAATTCTGACACGATTCTGTGCCATAATCAGAGGCAATAACTCTATAAATAATTATTAGGAATTATTGAAGTGCGAAAGAATTCTTCATTTCACTGGTCTGAAAAATGGATAGGCCTAATATACTGTAATTTTCAAGCAGACCAAATAACTTTTGCTATAAGAGTGTTCACAAGATTTACAAAGTGAACAAGGGTCAAAAGTAAATGACAACATTGTAAAAATTCAGTGGGCTATTTCGTTTTATAACTGACAAATAACTGGAACCTTTTATTCTGACTTTCAACCTGGTTATCAACATCAGAATAGCCATATTGTAGGGTTCCAAGAGTCCAAGTTTTCTGACTAAACCCTCTTGAAATTTAACAGTGTTTAATAGATCTGTGTACTTATTAAATATGCTACTTCTGTTGGGTAATAACCATAGAGAGAGATCAGAGAGAGAAATGGGGTTTAACGTCCACTCGACACAAACTAGGTCATTTTGGGACTAACACATGGTTCAATTTTATTTCAATAATTGGCTTACGTGTAGGGGTCTTTAGTAGTGGGAGGAAACCGGAGGTCCTGGAGAAAACCCACATGTTTGAGCAGGCGACCTTACTCCGTGTCACGTACAGACCTTATGATACAGCACGCACATGTTAACCATTCGGCCATCCAGCACCCCAATAACCATAGAGATTAGAGGTATGCATATTGACACCTCTATAGTAATAACTCATGTAATTATAAAAATGTTTCATACAAGTGGTGTTTTCTTTATGACAGGTATGACAAAGAGACAAATCAACTAGTAAGTGATGAAATTGGTGTAGCCTATTCAATTATTGACGGAATTCCAAATCTGAATCCTCAAGATGCCCGAATGCTGAAAACCAACTCAAATATTAATGTTAAAAAGAAACCAACAGAATTGTAAAGTTATTATTAATAAAAAGACAGATATTCTAAGATAGTATACACATAAATTTTTACATAGTGATAGAAACCAATGGTTTTAGATCAAAAATTAATCTGTACCATTCAAGAATATATACTGAGATGCAATGAAAATGCACCACTGATACGACTGGAAGACGGAAGTGCTGGTGAGGTATAATGCAGGTAAAATGTGACTTTTAGCCTGAGTGCAGGCTGGACATTTACTAACACAAGAAAATCAACAGCCATGGAAACCATAACTTTACAGTGAAACATACGCCAACCTCTAACAGCTATGCTGTCTGTAGAAAATAAGCCACTGAATGGGTGTAATGCTGCTTCCAGTGTCTCTGGTACTCATGCTGTCTTGAATTAACGCTAAGCCGTGTTTTAGTGTTCAGATGTCAACCTTGGCATGTTGTTTTATCTTCGACAGAACTGTAGGAATTTCAAAAGCCACTTATTTTACCCCATTTCCAACCTTCCCATCCTGTCGAATTCAATTATTTGTGTTTTGAGAAAATTGATCAGTGTTGCAGTTATGCAATCGTGAAAACATCATCGTCATAATATGATGTTACACTGAGAATTTCAAGATTAAAGTGTATCTCTCGAACAAGATTTAAAATCATCAATTTGTAACAATGGTACATATTTATTGCATCTCAATATATTTATTTAAAGTGTGTCTCAAAGTTGTAATATTTGACCATTTTATCAAGACCAATAAAAATTAAAATCGAAGTCATGTTAACTGGTTGACTAGCTGAAGACCCATCTATACATCTTTTGGGAGATTTCAGTACCTGTCCACCAATTAGGTTAAGGCATGGAAAGTTTGAAGATCTTCACTGGATGGAAAATGTGTGATCCAACATGATTTGACTACAGAGTTATATGCAGAACGATTTATGCTGGAGGGTTGGGGGTGTTTTGAAAATGATATTCTATGAAATTAATTAGATTTATTTTGTTGTTGAAAGTTCTAATATCTCTTTAACATCTGTTTTACAAAACTGATATCCCAGGTAAATCTGACAAATGTAATCAGAGATTTGAAACAGATCTGCATGTTCATCACTAAAATATACATGTAGACATTTCAAGATTCTGTACTCATCTTATGTAGTTACTTTCAAGAAAAAAAAACCAAACAAAAAAAACCAAGTATATGGTTGTTTTGAAAATGATATTCTATGAAATTAATTAGATTTATTTTATTGTTGAAAGTTCTAATATCTCTTTAACATCTGTTTTACAAAACTGATATCCCAGGTAAACCTGACAAATGTAATCAGAGATTTATCTGGGCACTATTCAGCAAGACAATTATAAAGGCCAACTGACTGATATCAATATTCTAATCTGTAAGGTAAGGCAACAGTTTACATTATATTTACCACCTCCACTGCTATGCAATAACAACCCCCACTCCAATGCATAGTATTAAATCATTCTATATGTTGGATCAAATTTAATATCATAATTTCAAAGGAATATTGTCACTTTCGATAAAAATAAATTTTTGAAATTGGTTTTTTGAAATCACAATTGTTATTAGCAGGCATGATATTTTTCCATTTTTTAACAGATTTCCGCTTTTACAGTTGTTCACGGGCCGTTCTCTCGTGATTCGTCTGAATTTGCAATTTAAAAATGGGGGGGGGGGGGGGTAATACATGTCGCCCGCCAAATCTTGAGAGGGAGGATAGTTTAAGTGCATTAAAGATAGGTTGCCAGGCAGTTTAATCGTCCGAGCGGTCTCGCATATTTATTCCTTTGTAGGTACATGTAATTGGGGGCCTTTACAAGACAGTTCCATACAGATCAGAACATAATTTGTTGGTTCACAAGGTTCTACAAACTGAAACAAGGGTCTCAACTCTGGAAGTAATCTACAGAAATTGTTGAAATTAGACAGGCTTTTTCGTTTTACTAATTTAAATATTGCATATAAATATCATACAGATCAGATGATCACTTTTGTCATTCAAACGTTCACAAGGTTCACAACAATTATTGACGGAAATTGCTGAAATTCAGTAGACCTCTGTTTAACAGAGTGAAATGATGCATATAAATTTCATACTTATCGGATGATAACTTTCAGCAATCGAGCATTAACAAGGTCGAACGAAGTAAAACAAGGGCCATAACTCTAGAAGTAATAAATGGAAATTGTTGAAATTCAATAGGATTCTTCTCTTTACTAATTTAAATGACGCATGCAAATTTCATCCAGATCGGCAGATAACTTTTGATGTTAGAGCATTCACAAGGTTCAATAAAGTGAAACAAGGGCCATAACTCTAGACGTAATAAACGGATATTGCTGAAATTCAATAGGGTTCTTCGTTTCACTAATTTAAATAATGCATATAAATTTCACAAGATTTTTCAAAGTGATCAAGGGCTATAACTCTGGCCTTAATTATCGGAAATCATCAAAAATCAATAGGCTTCTTCGTCTGATGAACTTAAACACTGTGTATAAATTTGTAGTCAATCGGATATTAACTTTAGCCTCTATAGCAACGAAAATAGCTGAAATTCAATAGGCTTCTTCGTTTCACTTATTTAAATAATGCATATAAATTTCAGAAATATCGGATGATAACTTTTGGCATTTGGGCGTTCACAAGGTTCAATAAAGTGAAACAAGGGCCATAACTCTAGACATAATACACCAAAATTATTGAAATTAAATAGGCTTCTTCGTTTCACTAATTTAAATCATGCATATAAATTTCATGATTGGGTGCTAACTTTTGGCGTTAGAGCGTTCACAAGATTCAATAAAGTGAAACAAGGGCCATAACTCTAGACGTAATAAACAGAAATGGCTGAAATTCAACAGGCTTCTTTGTTTCACTAATTTAAATGATGCATATAAATTTCAGAAAGATAGGATGATAACTTTTGGCGTTAGAGCGTCCACAAGGTTAAACAAAGTGAAACAAGGGCCATAACTCTAGAAGTAATAAATGGAAATTGCTGAAATTCAATAGGATTCTTCGTTTCCCTAATTTAAATATTGCATATAAATTTCACAAAGATCAGATGTTAACTTTTCACAAGGTTCAACAAAGTGAAACAAGGGCCATAACTCTAGACGTAATAAACTCTAGGCTTCTTCATCTCACTAATGCAAACAACATATCATTGTTGTGCTTCTAAAACCTTTTATCTCCGATTTTGGCCAATTTCGTTTTATATCATTTTCTGAATCCAACAACACTAACACACCTTCTGTAAAAATCTCGCATCTCTAGTCCAATTAGAATTATCATTTTAAGCATGTGACAAAAAGTCGGAACTTTCATTGGCTTAGCCACGTATCTCGGACACATGTTCTTTAGCAGACGACAGACACTTGTTTACACACCAAATGTAAGTACTTTTGCAAATCCTTCTATGCAGTTAATTTTATTAAGAAAAATAAAGCAATAAATATTTGATACTGTATCATCTATATTGACATTCAAGGCCTGCCCCCACGTTATCTACAAAAAAATCGCATAAACAAGTAAATACTTCTTTTGTAACAAAAAACATTGAACCCAAGTAATTATATCTATTGATTTAAAGTGAAAGGTTTTAATTTCAATAAAAAAAAACAGGAATTCTATGGTGTTTTTTACGTGAAATACAATATTTTGGGTATAGGATTTATGATGAAATTTATATCTCCTTACCGAGATACGATATTTTGACGTTATATTCAAAGCGATAATTATTATATCAAATCCACTTTTATTTGCAGATTAAAGTGAAAAATGTCCCGGAGAATGCCGTCCAAGTCTAATATATTTCAGTCAAGGGGACAGATGCTACTAAAGATGGCTTTAGAGAAATGACATACAGTTTCAGAAACACCAACATGTGATTTAGCTGAAAGCGAAGTTGTTCTGACTCGAAATACTAATTTATGTAGTAATATATATATTAGTATATTTCAAGTTTCATCAAAATCGGATAGAAATTGTGACTTCTAGAGTGTCCACAACCTTGGTATTACATACTTTTACACACAAGGAGTGGCCATTTTGTCTGGCAGTTTCTGTCAGATTTTTACGAAATTCTAACTTCACCTTCATTCAATGGTGATATAGTTAAACTTTTTTACAACTGAATACAAACTGTGACTTCTAACGGGTCCACAAGCTAAAATTGCAATTTTTCAAACAATCATGGGCCATAATCCAGGAAGTTACGTTCGCAATTATTGAAAGGATATAAACATAAATTTAAACCTTTATCAAAATCAGATAAAAATTGTGGCCTCTAGAGGGTCTACAACCTTGATATACCACATATTTACACCATTTGCTTTATATGAGGGGCAGCCATTTTGTCTGTCAGTTTTGGTCCGATCTTCGCGAAATTCAAACACAACCATCATTGCGGTGTAATGGTGATATATTCGCATGTTTTTTTAAATCAGATAAAAATTGTGACATCTAGGGAGACCACAAGCTAAAAGCGTGATTTTTCGTACAATCAAGGGCCACAATTCAGGAAGCTACGATCCAATATGCGCGAATATCGAAAGGTTCAATAAAGTGAAACAAGGGCCATAACTCTAGAAGTAATCAAAGGAAATTGCTGAAATTCAATAGGCTTCTTCATTTCACTAATTCAAATAATGCATATAAATTTCACAAAGATGGGATGATAACTTTTGGCGTTGGAGCGATCACACAGTTCAATAAAGTGAAACAAGGGCCATAACTCTTGATGTAATAAACGGATATTGCTGAAATTCAATAGGGTTCTTTGTTTCACTAATTTAAATAATGCATATAAATTTCAAAAATTAATTATTATACATCATTAATCAATTGGGTTGTTTATTTTTTAACAGAGACTGAGAAATTAAACACTTGTAAATTGGACACTCATTATCAAAACTGAATGGTCAGCTTTAAACTGGACAGATGTACAAATTAAACGATTTATGGTGATTTTAAACACTTTTTACGAATTTTTAAACAAAGATTGGATATTAAACAAATGTGACAGAAATTAGTGCTAGATACACAAGATAAAATGGGTGTATTCCCACGAAGGCGCAGTTATTGAGCGTGGTGATTTTAAACACTTTTTGCGAATTTTTAAACAAAGATTGAATATTAAACAAATGTGAAAGAAATTAGTGCTAGATACACAAGATAAAATGGGTGTATTCCCATGAAGACGCAGTTATTGAGCGTGACCAAAATTAATCCTTCCCACGAAGGCGCAGATATCAACTTGTTGGCTTTCGTTTGAAGAGAGACATGTTGTTATTAGGACCCAATTAACGGTGTTAAAGATTTTATGAATTTATGTTCACTCTGAATTTTATTCACCAATTTTGCAACAAGAACAAATTATCAATGAGATTAGAATCGTTCAGTATGCTGGGGGACAGGAAACACCAAGGAAAGGATACAAATATGTTCAAATCCAAAGTCAGCTCCAGGAATTTGGCGAAATTAAACTTATTTTTGTTATAGTATAGTTATGTTTTTATTTCTTATTTGGCGAAATTAAATTAATTTTTGTTATAGTATAGTTACTTGTATGTTTATATTTCTTATGCCATAACTGATGCTAAAATGTTGGTTAATTAGTTACATTGGCGATTATGAAAGTGTAAATTCTTATCATAACAATCTATAACACCATTGTTACGTTTTTAATCCATTTTAATCCCTAGGGGCTGGATTCCCGCGAAGTCGTCGAAAACGACCTTTTTTAATCCGTTACGGTCAATAACTTGCTGAAATTCAATAGGATTGTTCTCTTTACTAATTTAAATGACACATGTAAATTTTATACAGATCGACAGATAACTTTTGATGTTAGAGCGTTCCTAAGGTGCAACAAAGTGAAACAAGGGCCATAACTCTAGAAGTAATTGACAGAAATTGCCGAAATTCAAAAGGCTTTTTCACTTCACTAATTTAAATCATGCACATAAATTTCACAAAGATTGGATGTGTAACAAGGGCCATAACTCTAGACATAATGAACAGAAATGAAATGAAATGGGGTTTAACGTCCTACTGTCCTGCTCCTAACCTGGGCTAATGAAGACGGGCATACGCCATACAGTGTGCTATGAGGGAAATTTTGCCCGGGCAGCGGCACTATCGCCTACTCTTATATCGAATTCCAACTGCCAAGGGATCTTTTGCGTGCATTCCAATGTATACACGGGACCTCGGTTTTTCGTCTCATCCGAAGGAATAGACAGCTGTCCTTGTCAGGCCCTCCGTCCTGCATCACTGACAAGGGGGAACCAAGCCGGAAAATCTGGATGAACTTTCTCGGCCAATGCAGGGATCGAACACCCGACCTCCAGGCTAGCGAGCCAGCGCCTTAACCACTTAGCCACGTGGTCCCTCATAATGAACAGAAATTATTGAAATAAATATCCTTCTTCATCTCACTAATGTAAACCACATATACTATTCAAAAAAAGTAGGGGATATTTGATTTTTAAGTGTTATTAAAGTCACCTAATGAAACTGACGAAGAAACAAATGACAAAATGAAATGAAGTTCACATTCATCGATTTATTCCAAATGATAGTTAGACTAAGTAAGGCACAGACTGACCATTATAAGGGTAAAATGATACCCGGGGTCAAACAGCAAAGTTACCACAGCATCACAACCAAGTCAGTAACGGGTAAATCCTCCTCTGTTTGCCAAACAAGCATTGATCCGACGTGGCATACTCCTAATGAGACGTCTAAGGTCATTTTGGTCCAGATTGTCCCATTCCTGTTGCATTGGCAGGACGTTGTTGACGTTGACGTAACCTCTGTCCAAGCATGTCCCAGACATGCTCGATGGGGGAGAGGTCGGGACTCAGTGCTGGCCAAGGTAATGTGGTGATGTTCTGTTGTTGGAGGTAACCTGTAACGATCCTGGCCCTGTGACATCTTGCGTTGTCATCCTGGAAGATGAAACGGCGGCCATGACGTCGTGCGAACGGCACAACATGGACTGCCAAGATGTTGTCCCGGTAGTACTGGCCTGTAACACGCCCTGCAACAACATGTAAAGCCGTTCTTCCAGCAACAGTGATGCCTCCCCACACCATAACAGAACCACCCCCAAATCGATCATGTCTGATGACGTTAACGTCTTGGAAGCGCTCGTTTCGACGACGCCACACCCTCCTACGTCTGTCCAAAAAATCAACAGTGAACCTTGACTCATCTGAAAACATCACATTGCTCCAGCGTCGATTATCCCAGTGTTGACGATCCCTACACCAACGACGTCTTGCCTGAATGTGATGATCTCTCAAACAAGGGATCATGCGAGGACGTCGGGCGCGAAGGTGACCCTTATGCAGTCGATTCCGAATCGTCTGGCCACTCACTCTCACACCAGTGTCTGTTTGAAGACGAGCGCTGATCTGATTTGCTGTGATGACACGATTTCTCAAGGCCAAGGTACGGATAAATCGATCCTGGGCTTGAGTTGTCGCCCTTGGTCGACCTGAGCGTGGTCTGTCCTGTACAGATTGTGTATCACGGTATCTGGACCATAGCCTGCTTATGACAGACTGAGAAACATTCATCGTCCGCGCCACAACCGCCCGTGTTGTGCCGATCTGTAGCATGCCAAGGGCACGTAACCTTTCATTTTGGGTAAGCCGACGCATATCAAAATTTGTTTTCTGGTCACTAAAACAATTAAACTGATGTTTCCACCCTGGAATTCAATGCCACAATGACTGTAACATTCAAAGTCAGAGTCGTGCAAATCTTGGGTTGGACCCCCATGATGATCCCAAGCATCACCTGCATTCCATGCGGTAGCTATTGGTGCGTTTGGGCGTCACATGTAACTGGAAATGTTTCTTCTGTTAGGTTCTATAGTGACTTTTTTCGTAGTCATTTGCATATTTTAGTATTATGCCCCCAAAATCAAATATCCCCTACTTTTTTTGAATAGTATATATCAATTTTAAAACAATCAGATAATAACTTTTGGAGTTAAAGCGTTCACAAGAAATTGTGGACGGACCGACCGACAGACGGACGGGGTGACGGCAAGATACGTCCACATTTCCATGTGGGCGTATAAAAATTGGGTGTGGCTCTGCCCCTAGGGGTTGGATATGGAACAATTTAAATAGGTACCACATCATTTCAATAACAGGGTGGTAGTACCACCCTGTTATTGAAATGATTGGTATGCTGAATTTGACAACTGGGGGGGGGGGGGAAAGGACTCGAAAATGACAGGCAAATATTGAAAACAAAATGAGATAACTTTGAATGGAACTTATATTTTTGGAATCAGATGGACCTCAGCTATTCGAATATTTAGATCAAATTTGTAAATTGTGGAAATTAAAGAAATAAATTGTCCTGTAAAAAATTTTGTCGGCACAAAAAGTGTCAAAGGCAAAATTCAAAATTTTCAAATACCAAAAATTTGACCCTGATCAAGACTATCCAGAAATGTATTTATTTCGTAAATATGAGACGTATCCTTAAACTACGGCCCATAGTGTTCATTTTCACATTCATTAACGTGGATTTTTCACAATTTTTTCATATTCAATTCAAAATGGTGACTATCAGTTGACCAAAATCAAAATTCTGCTGCGATAGATATTTAGGCATTCCTTCAAGGATTCAGAAAATTAACTCCCATGCAGTCCTGCTCCCATGTCTGTAACAGTGTAAGTAAAATATCGCAAAAGCATTATGGATTTTTCACGTTTCAAGATGGTGGCACTTCCGGTCAGATCGACAAACTCCATATTTTGTGAACGCATCAGCAATGCCTTAGCTAGTACAGAAAAAAAATTTCAAGGCAATCTGACCTACTTTTTGTTGATTTTTCTGAAAAGTATCGAAAGGAACCTGGATCTTTGGATTTCAAATTTCATCAAAATCGGATAACAATTGTGACCTGTAGATTGTCCAATAGGATAGCTAAAATGTATTTTTTTCGCACAATCAGGGGCTATAATCCATGAAGTTACAATCGATACATAAAACCTACATTTCAAGTTTGTCAAAATCGGGTAAAAATTGTGACCTGTAGAGTGTCCATAAACAAATTATGGGCGGACAAGGACAATGACAACATACGTATAAATAGAACTAAAGACTGCAAACAAGCAGTATAGAACTTGTCCCATCACTGATCAAAATTAACACATCAGATCAATCCAATTCAATAATTTGACATAAATTAAAAAGAGGTTTTGCTTCTTTAAATTCTCTATTATTTATATTAATTTATTATACAGTATATTTTTCTTTTATAAATTACATGTATGCATTCTATCAGAAAATCTAAATAACTAAATGCGATTATATCCCTTGTAAGCTCTTTTCCACACTACACCTCATTAAATGACATACTGAAGTTACTGTCCCTTTGATATCTTCTTTACATTAATCTATATGTACAAAATAGAAAATCTAATGTGGCAATAAAGCTTTTCACTTGATACACACCATCTGTATTAACCCCCTAATGTAAAACCTGTTTTACAACCTCATTAAAGGTGTTCAAACGAAAAAATACACATAAAGTTGTTTGTGGGTGGTTGTCAAGCAATATATACATGTACGCAGCCTCAAAGGAAGTGTTACACATTTTATGCTGGATTCATCACAGTACAGTCCAATTTACATTTATTTAGGTACATGTACCTAGCTGACTTGGGCCAGGAGTACCTAGATCTTAAGACAAGTGATAACCACAACTTTGAGAATTAAATACAGAATATTATACATTTATACAAATGTAAGTATGGTACTCTAACATATTTTTAAAATTTACTCTAATTAATTAGGATTTTCTACATAAATGTTTTGGTGCGTCTGCAAACATATATTTGAGTTTAAAAGCTTCTGCTAAGAGTTCTTCAACATCTTTATCCTTCCAATGATGTGTTGGTAAGTTTTGAAGTAACATCAGTATTCCTTGAAAATCTCTTTCCTGTTGAATGTCTTTGGAGAAATAATCAACAAATGCAGCACAAACATACAAATGGAAATCTGCAAAGCCATTTATTTCAGATAAATATGTGTCCCAAAGTCTTATCGTACAACGTAATGGTATTTCTCGCATTAACAGATTATTCATCCATCGGAAAGAAAACTGAAGGTATTCCACACAATGTTTTTCTAAGTGTGTGTTTAATGGGTTGTCAATTCGTTTGACAAGTTCGTGTAAGGCGTTTACTTTCATCTGTATTCCAGGTTGAGCAAACGTATAGTTATCTTGTATACCATCTAATAATTTAGATGTACACCAAAAACTATCCGCTTCAATTATATTTAAAATAGATTTCGGTAATTCAAGCAAATCACAGTTTTCCACCTCTATATCATTTTCAATGTATTCGAATAGAAAAACAACAAAAAATGGTGTAACTAAATCATTGATTCCCTGAACATAGCCACTAGCAGGATGTCTAATGGCCCATATATACAATATTCTTTCAAAAATCTCTTGAACCACTTTCTGTTGAAATAGATGTGCTAGTGACGTCATTCGAGGAATATCTTTCAAAATTTGCTTGAAAGTTTCTGAATGTGTATCTTGGTGACGAGTATCATAGTACTGTTCGATAAAACCAAAGTATTCATGGCGTTTTCGCTCCAAAGTTTCTTCCCTTCTATCTAAGCTAGCGGGTAAATATCCTGACAGAATTTTCCAAGCTGTTGGGCGAATACTTCTGGGTATTCCAGACCAGCTTAAGCTTCTTAATTGATCAAGATTTAGATTTGGTTCATTTAATAACTTTTTAAATTTATCAATCTTAGCTGCCTCCCTTTCCACATCTGTATTTTGGGCAAAACGTATGTGGGTAGTTTTAGGTGGTTTGTAGCTGTTGTTTAATCTGACTCCAAGACCAGGACCTGCGTGATGACTGTTGGATGAGGTATTGGCTTTACTCCCATCCAATTTCATCAGAGCATTATCTTTAGAACTCTGTGTTAAGGTTTGTTTGCTGTGGTTGTCTAAGACAGCTCTTGCTGTTGATTGTACATCTTTTAGAGACATTTGCATGTTGGACATTGACAGAAGCTCATCATCTGTATCATCCCATGCATCTGAGGTTTTATTCTCAAAATCTGCAAAGGTATCTCTTTTTGTGTATTTGGTTTTATCTTCCTTCTTTGGTGAACTTGGAAGTTTGAAATTCATTGGCGGATGCTGAGCACCATACACTGGACGAATACTACCAGGCACACTTGTCATAGAACTTTTCCACGGTCCTGGTCTACTCCCAGTCCCTTCCTTCATGTTCAAAGCAGGAACATTCGTGCTATGAGTCGACATTACAGTGGGCAATACAGGACACACCCACAAATTACCAGAAAATTCACATAATACTTAATTCATTGATGTTTCGCAGATCTCTCTATCCAACAACATTAGACCTCGTCTAGTTCATTTCTTATCAGGGTATGGTTACGGAGTTCAATTTTTCGTCACCATTTTTGTCAATCTTTCCCAGAATGCGTAGCGAGTAAGTACAGAGAGTTTGCGCAGTGTGATGTTGATATTGTATTCATCCGGGTATTCTAAAATCCCGGAACTACTATTAATAGTATTTTGAAACAATGATACCACAGAGTAACTCTGTGATGATACCACGGTAGCTGATTGACATCAGCAATGTTGTCATATTTGACCGATCTGTGGTGTTGTGTTATTGAACACGCTTCCAGTCCACAACAATAAACAATAGAAACAAAGATATTGGTAACTGAAAGATGATCGTTTGATATTTATAGATTTTTGACCTCCATAGAGAAACTGAAGTCTGAAGTGAAAAGAAAATCGGGACAAGAATTTAAGAAAACACTGACGACAGATGAGATTGGGGATACGTTTTCACCCAAACTAATCACCAAATGAATACAGATTAAAATTACAAAGAATACAGCCTCATTATTTCAAGTGAGTAGGCCTTTTTATAATGTGTAGCTAGGTATACACGTCACTACTTTTCTCTCCTTTCCGAATAACAGTAAGCAGTAGAAACCCACAAAAAGCACTGAGAAAGGTTTAAAATTGTCTTGATATATTTATCGATTATAGATCACCAGATGACAGAGAGAATTAAAAACAACAATTTAACTTCCGATAATTCCGTCCAAAGTTACTGCCATTGAAATAGCTTGTTGAAGCTCAAGATGCAAACACCGGATTTACCCCTGTTGTCAAATAATTCCGTCCAAAGTTACTGCCATTGAAATAGCTTGTTGAAGATGCAAATACCAGATTTACCCATGTTGTCAAAGTTGTTTGCTTCAAATTAATAATATAGTTTACACCTTTTTTTTTTAAGTTTTCGACTGAGTTGAATTATCATGGATAAAGATAACCAGCTTCATTTTGAGGCAGCTAATCATGGTGATGTCATGTTGGCTGGATTACGACACTTGCGTGATAAATGTCAATTATTTGACATGATTCTAACAGTTGGTGAGGAAGATTTACCGGTACATCGTGTAGTTTTAGCTTCTTGTAGTGAATATTTCAGGTAAATATATACAATTTATTTTGAAGGGGCATATAAAAACTCAACTAATCATTAAATTTTCAAATATTTTTGTTCTAGTAAAAGAGCTTTAAATAAAACCTGGTTGCGGTTTCCACTATTATGTTAAGTATTTGATAGCAGACTAATCCTGCTTTAAATTATGTAACAATAATAAATATAAAGTACCCTCTTTCAGATTATAAAAAAAAAAAAAAAATATTTTGTTTGAATGAAAATTTTGGATAATTGTGTATAAATCACTCAAAATGGGACATTCATGAAAGAGTGAATATTAAATTTATCTCATATCTACCTTAATTTTAATTAAGCCCATAGTTTTTTCTATGTTATTAAACATCATGTGTAAAAATATAAATTACAGGGCAATGTTTACTGATGGTTTAAAAGAATCTAAACAAGAATGTATTATACTGAATGGTGTGACAGCTACTGGAATGAGGAATCTTATTGACTTTGCCTACACTTCTAAAATCAACATAGATACTGGTATAAGGGCTACTGCTTATTATTATTATCTAAAATAAATACAACCCCAATTTACTTTTAGGATTATTTGAGTATTTTTAGCTTTGCAAAGAAAAATGGTTGAGTTGTTTTGATAAAACAAAAATGAGCTTACAAAGACTTTTTGCATGTGTTACAGCATCCTCGATTCATCCATGGGAAGACACTCCCAGTTTTAATAAATGTTAATTAATCGCTTACAAAAATTTTGTGCTTGTGTTACAGCATCCTTGGTATCCCCAGTGGTTTCAATCTGTTCCACACTACTAACCCTGGGTTCGTCCATATGGAGGGGGGTTGGATGGCCGAATGGTTAGTATGTGAACGCTGTATTATAAGGTCTGTCATTGAGTCAACTGGCATGGTTTCGATTACCCGGTTGTACGTGACAAGGAGTAGGGTTGCCTGCCCAACATCGTGGGTTTTTTCCGGGTCCTCCGGTTTTCTCCCACTGCTAAAGACCCCTACGCGAAATAGTGAAATAAAATTGAACCATGCGTTAGTCCCAAAATGACCTAGTTTATGTTGAGTGGACATTAAACCCCATTTCTCTCTCTCTATCTCATCCACATGGAAGACACTCCCAGTTTTGATAATAATTATTTACTCGCTTACAAAAACTTTAGTGCTTGTGTTACAGGGGTGATTATTTCTAATTACACACCTTGGGATGTTATTTCATTTGATCAACCATGCATGTTATGAAACGTATCAACCTGTTGTGACGTCATCAGAAGGTGATATCTGATATCGACCTTAGGGACGATATCAGATATCACCCTCTGATGACGTCACAACAGGTTTACGGGCTCTGCAATGAAAAAGGACACATTTCCATGTGATATAAAATAATTAATAGAATACAATATCAAAAAAACATCGTTTTATCCAATGTTTCGTCAGTAAAAACACTAACTTCTTCATGTTATGTATCTAAGTCTATGACGTCATCATTCCCACGATGTCATAACTTTCTATGATGTCATAACTGACTTCCAGTCATTTTGTATTTAGTTCTTCATCCCTGGAGAAGTTAGTTGTTTTACTGACAAAACGTTGGATAAAACAATGTTTTTTTGATATTGTATTCTATTAATTATTTTATATAAACTTATCTGAATATCATATGCATCATTTTGACTTAGTCAAAATTGATCCCATCAGACCGTCTGTATTTGGTTTGTGTGATCCTGTTTCTATTGCTTGGAAGTTTCACATTTCCATGTGGACATATATTGTCGTCGCCCCTGTCCGTCCACAATTTGTTTGTGGACACTCTACAGATCACAACTTTTATTCGATTTTGACGAAACTTAAATTATAGGTCTATCTCCCAAAGATTTTGGTTCCTTTCGATATTGGCATATATCGGACCATAACTTCATGGATTATGGCTCCTGATTGTACATAAAATCACGTTTTTAGCTTGTGGACACTCTAGAGGTCACAATTTTCATCTGATTTTGATGAAACTGGAAATATATATTTATAACCCAAAGATTTTGGTTCCTTTTGATATTTGCGCATATCAGATCGTAACTTCCTGAATTATGGCCCCTGATTGTACGGGAGAGAGAGGGAGAAATGTGGTTTAACGTCCACTTGACACAAACTAGGTCATTTTGGGACTAACACATGGTTCAATTTTGTTTCAATAATTCGCTTGCGCGTAAGGATCTTTAGCAGTGGGAGGAAACCAGAGGACCCGGAGAAAACCCACGAGGTTGGACCGGAGACCCTACTCCTTGCCACGTACAACCGGGGAATCGAAACCCTGCCGGTTGACTCAATGACAGACCGTATGATATAGCCCGCGCGTGCTAACCATTCGGCCATACACCCCCCCTCACAGATTGTATGGAAAATTGCATTTTTAGCTTGTGGTCACTCTAGAGGTCACAATTATTATCCCATTTAACAAACCGTTACACTGTAATAATGCTTGAGTTCGAATTTCGTGAAAATCAGACCAAAACTGCCGGACGAAATGGCCGCCCCTTGTACGCAAATAGTGTAAAAATATGTTATATCAAGGTTGTGGACCATTGTTGTGGGCATATCGGATCGTAACTTCCTGAATTATGGCCCATGATTGTACGATACATCACTAGAGGTAACAATTTTTATCCAATTTAAAAAAACGTTTGTATATATCACCGTAACACCCTATTGATGGTGATTTTGAATTTTGTGAAAATCTGACCAAAATTGTCAGACAAAATGGCCGCCACTCGTATGCAAATAGTGTAAATGTATGGTATATCAAGGTTGTGGACCCTCTAGAAGCCACAATTTTGATCCGATTTTTATGAAACTTAAAATACATATTTATAACCCAAAAATCTTGGTTCCTTTCGATATTCGCGCATATCAGATCATAACTTTCTGAATTATGGCCCTTGATTGTACGAAAAATTGCACTTTTAGCTTGTGGTCCCTCTAGAGGTCACGATTTTTATTGGATTGAAAAAAAAACATTTGAATATTTCACCGTTATACCTTAATGACGAATGAGTTCGAAATTCGTCAAAATCGGACCAAAACTGCCGGACAGCATGTCCGCCCCTCCTAAGCCAAGAGTGTAAATATATGGTATACAAGGTTGTGGACCCTTTAGAAGTCACAATTTTGATCCGATTTTGATGAAACTTGAAATATATCTTTATAACCCACAGATCTTGGTTCCTGTCAAGTTACGCTTTTTGTTTAGCTTGTTCTCTATCCATCTCTTTCAAAATGTGGGCGTATCCTGCAATCCTGCCTGGCAGCCACTGGTATTCACTTATTGTACAATGTTGTCAAATGATTCGGACGACAAACTTTGCCAGGCCCATGTTACTTAATTTCTTCATCTGACCATCAAGAACTTGTCTGAAACTCAAATTCTGGATTGTGTATCCACATCAGTTTTATTTGTAATCCGTAAATGTGAAACTATTCCCATAACTAAATACAGAAATGGGTGGGTAATATTCATCATTTTATTTTGCTTACTTCCAAGACGAATCTAGACATCCAAAAAATAAAATCTTATATACTCATATCTTCCAGCACACAGAGGATTTTTCGCTCACTATCGTGTTTATTATTCTACCACACAGCCCACTGATTTTTGCGTAAGGTATTAATGGGCATGGCATTGTTGGCACATTCGCTAACGTCTTGTCACTCGAAATTTTTCAACTGTATTTTCTACAAACTAAGGTGCACGGATCAGTTCGTTGTCCGAATCGTTTGACAACATTGCACAAAATGAATGTCAGTTTGTGAACACATGGTTACTAAAATGTAATGCACGTGCAACTTATGACTTGTTTTCTTAATTTTGTCCATATCAGTCGCAGAGCCTATATGGACTAAACCTTTTTCTTATGGGTAAAATCTATAAGGATAGATTCAACATTGATGTTGGTGTGGAAGACAAATATTACCCTAATACCCTCGGTCAATATGTGAAATAAACCAAGGCCAGAGGACTTGGTTTATTTCACATATCAACTCAGGGTTAGTTAATATTTGTCTCATATACATGTATATTTAATATTTATGGAAACCTTGTTGAAAATGATTGGTCTCCCCCTTAATTTGATAATATGATAATAGTCAAGATATTGTAGATACACTTTTTCACATTGCATAATTTGTAGACAACAACAATAATATAGATTGGAAAATAACATGGACAACTACATTGTATTTTGATAATTATTTGAAATTCAGTTATTTAATATTTGCATCTAGTTCTAAAACTATGCATTTATGCATGGAAATACTTATTTGATGTGCCACTGGGTTACCGTATATATTTATTTATTACAGAGAATGTTTATGATGTATTGGGAGCTGCCAATCATGTACAGATATTACCAGTTCTAACAGCATGTGAAGATTTTCTCAAACAACATTTAGATCTAAATAATTGTATTGATGTCATGAATGTTGCAGAACTTTATTCATTACAACCATTATACCAAGTAGCTCAACAGTATATCAGCAAAAATTGGTCTACATTTGCTCTATCAAACGATTTTCTTAAACTCAGTGTTCAAGAACTAAGCATTTTATTATCCTCTCATTTTCCCGTTGATTGTTCAGAATATCTGATTCTTTCATCAGTATTAGACTGGCTAGAATATAATTTTATTGAGAGAATAGAATTTGTGCCAGAATTGTTAGGAGAAGTAATGTTTGAATGTATAAGTGGGTCCGAGATGGAAGTTATATGTGCAAATTCTATATGGACAAATTTGTTGACACACGTTCCCGAAGTTCAAGACTTTTTAAAAAGAGTGGGGCAGAATCCTGTTTCTAAGGACTGGTTAGCTTCATCAGGAATATGCAATTTACGTGGATTCCAGCACTCGTTAATAGTAGCAGGTGGTTTTACTAACGAAGGTGGTCTCACTAATTCTGTCTGGTATCTTGATACAACTACTGGCCAACTGCGTCATCTGACAAAAATTCCCCATGTTGATCAGTGTAATTTTGGTATGGGTGTACTCAATAATAAACTTTATGCTGTTGGTGGTTGTTTCAATGATCAAATGCAAGAATTGATACACCCATTTTGTTTCTGTTATGATGCTCAAAGTGATGCTTGGGAAAGTATTGCTCCCATGTCTCAAGAAAGATGTAATTTTTATCTCGGTGTGCTTGAAGGAAGATTTTTTGCTATTGGAGGAGATCCACAGGCATCATTGGGTGTAGCAGACACAGCACCATGTGAATCATTTGATCCAGACACAAATACTTGGGTTGATATCGAACCAATGCCTGGTAACCGTATGCAGCATAGCGGTACTTCACATGGCAGACGGCTTTATGTTTCAGGGGGACTACAGGAACAAGATGGTGATGTTTTTGATGATTTATTGTGGTTTGACTTGAATACAAATTCCTGGTATAGAGGAGCCTCCATGAGAACTCCAAGAGCAGATCACTCCATGTTTGTGTTCAATGAAAAAATTTACATATCAGGCGGTTGGTTTTATGATACCCATACACAACAAAGAGTCATTGCTTCAACAATAGATTGTTATGATATTGAAACAGATTGTTGGGAAACTGTTGCAACATTAAATGAATGCCGTTTATTTGCTACATACACAATGTATAATGGATGTATTTATGTGGTGGGTGGTTGGAGGGGTGGTAACTATCGTAGAAAATGTAATACTATTGATGTGTTTGATTTAACACGTGGAGAATGGATTGATAAAAAACATCAACGTCTTCAAGTATGGGAACATTCTAGCTGTACAATGTATTTACCTAGATTTATAATATGACACATGGTCATATGGAATCATGGTACAATATCAAATGTGTTTAGTGGCCATCTCGTAGGGACTATGTTACCAACTTCACCACATCTCTGACATCTGACAGTAAATAAATCCAATGTATTCTATCACACAATGCTCACAATTGTTTCAATTATATATAATCAGTACAGATTTTATGCGGTCATTCTTTGTTATGCTGGATTTTTATGCTATATAATTAGGGTACATTCATATACTTTACCACAGCATCTAATGTTTTTATACGCCCACATTTTCATGTGGATGTATATTGTCGTCGCCCCTGTCTGTCCGGACGTCCGTCCACAATTGGTTTGTGGACACTTTACAGTTCTCAATTTTTAAGGGATTTCGACGAAAATATAGGTCTATCTCCCAAAGATCTCTGTTCCTTTCGAAATTGGCATCTATCTGACGAACCATAGCTTCGCGTTGTTAGCTTGTGGATACTCTAGAGGTCACAATTTTCATCCGATTTTGATGAAACTTGAAATGCATGTTTATAACCTAAAGATCTTGGTTCCTTTTGATATTCGAACATATGGGATCATAATTTCCTGAATTATGGCCCCTGATTGTACGAAAAATCACGTTTTAAGCTCGTGGTACCTTAGAGATCGCAATTTTTATCCAAACGTTAGGATATATCTCCGTTACGCCATAAGGCTGGCTGAATTTGAATTTTGTGAAAATTGGACCAAAACTGCCGTTCAAAATGGCCTCCCCTCGTACGCAAATTACTGTAAAAATATGGTATATCAAGGTTGTGGACCCTCTACAGGTCACAATTTTTATCTGATTTTGTTGAAACTTGAAATGTATCTTTATAACCCAAAGATCTTGGTTCGTTTCCATATTCGTACATTTTGGATCATAAACCAAAATGTTGATTGAGTTCGAATTTTGTGAAAATCTGACTCAAACTGCCAGACAAAATAGCCGCCCTTCGTACACAAATAGTGTAAAAATTTAGTACATTAAGGTTGTGGAACCACTAGAGGTCATATCACAAAGATCTTGGTACTTTTCGATAATCGCGCATATCTCAAAGTAACTTCCTGGATTATGCCATTTTTAGCTTGTGGACCCGCAAGAAGTCACATCTTTTATCCGATTTTAAAAATCGTTTAAATATATCACCGTTCCACCATAATGAAGGTTGAGTTCGAATTTCGTGAAAATCGAAACAACAATCCGACAAAATGGTCGCTCCTTGCATGCCAATTGTGTAAAAGTATGTAATACGGATGTTGTGGACGCTCTAGAGGTCACAATTTTTATCCGAATTTTATGAAACTTAAAACATATCTTTATATCCCAAAGATCTCAGTCACTTTTGATATTTGCGCATTTCAGACCATATTACCAAAGATCTTAGTTGCTGTCCATATTCGTGCATTTCAGATCCTAACTCTGGATTCTGGACCCTGATTTTGCAAAATGTGGACGTATCTTGCCTGGTAACCCCTAGTTCAGGTTGTTGTCAACAGGGAATCATTTTGTATGACAAGTTCCCCTAAACTGATTAACGCAATGATTAACTTGCATATATTTATCAACACATGTACATTTATGTTATATATTTAAAGGGCAAGTCTCGGATTTCACAAAACACTGTAAATAATAGTCATTTTATCTGTTTATCGAAACCCCAAATTGTGATGAAATGGTTTATTTACCCTGTCTGAAAATTTCGAATAATCTTATTTAGCCGTTTAGATTTGATTGCTAGATTTGCTTAACCCTTAACCGGTCATTGTCAACTATAGTCACCACAACGTTATACAGCTAAGTGGTCACGGTTGACTAAAGTCGACCACAACAAGAACCTTTTTTTTATAAGCCTCATTTGAGTATTTAGTTTCGTATTTAATTGATATGGCCACGCATGCGTGTCAGACAGGAATTTGTCTAGTCAAGGGCATTGAGAAAAACATGTCTTTGTTCAACATTACGAAAAACGTAATTTAACGATGTCGGGAACGTTAAAGACGCTCGAAGTGGTTGAAATTCTTATGAAATATTCTGACTCGATGACACTGATTCTGAAGACAATATTTCTGATGAAAAGAATTTAGAATGATTTGCAAATTATAGATCAACTTATCCCCTTCAACTTTTTTATTGGTGTCAAGGGTCTATCACTTATAATTATTCGGCAATAGTCAATTGAAATAGGCATACAAAATATTTCACGTCAGCCTTTATTTAGCCTGATCACTTGACGTCATGACGTCAAAATGACGTCGACCGGTTAAGGGTTAACAAGATTACATAACTCATTGAAGAAATTTCAATCTTCAATTACATGTATGTGATTGCCTAGACTTCACTTACCCATGTAGCGCTACAATTTCTGCAAGTATATGAATATGGTTATCCATATCCATACACAGCTTGGAATTGGGGACTTATGGCCAACCTTAAATGGAATTAGTATGTTTCTCTGAAGAAATTAAATGGCACTATTTAGTTTGTATTTGGTGCAGTACCAGTATTTAAAATATTGCATTATTAATAACTCTGGTTATTAGAAAAATGTCTATTTGTTCACCCATGCTATATGCTAGTTAACACAAACAGCTAGTGAGTATATTTATAGTACTGTTGGATATTTTGGAATTTCACACTGTCAGTGTAATAAACCATTAAATTTGTCCAGATTACCGTATTATTTTTTACGCCCACATGGACATGTGGTCATATATTGCCGTTGAATGACAAAAGTTATAATCTATATGAAATTTATATGCATCATTTAAATTTGTGAAACAAAGAAGTCTATTGTAAATATTTCTAGAGTTATGGCCCTTGTTTCACATATTTAAACCTTGTGAACGCTCGATTAACGAAATCTATCATCCGATATGTATGAAATTGATAGGCCCTATGCATCAATTAGATTAGTGAAAGCCTGCTGAATTTCAGCAATTTCCGTCAATTACATCTAGAGTTATGGCCCATGTTTTACTTTTTATTTTTTAACCTTGTCAACGTATAAATGACAAAAGTTATCATCCGATCAGTATGAAATTTATATGCATTATTTAGATTAGTAAAATGAAAAAGCCTGTCATATTTCCAATCTAATTGTCCCCCGCCTTTCGAAGAAAGCAGGGGACTATTAAAATGGGTTCGTCCGTCTGTCTGTCTGTCCGTCTGTCTGTCCGTCACACTTTTTGGGACACAATAACTCTCTTCCTAATTGAGCTAGAATGTTCAAACTTGGTGTATGTGTTTATTAGGTCAATGCCTTGATGGAGTTCGAAGATGAGCATTTTCCGCTTAGGGTAAGCAGAGATAAGCAATTTGATTGGTTGATGCTTTGGGACACGATAACTCTCTTCCTAATTGGGCTAGAATGTTCAAACTTGGTGTATGTGTTGATTAGGTCAATGCCTTGATGGAGTTCGAAGATGAGCATTTTCCGCTTAGGGTAAGCAGAGATAAGCAATTTGATTGGTTGATGCTTTGGGACACGATAACTTTTAATTGAGCTAGAATGTTCAAACTTGGTGTATGTGTTTATTAGGTCAATGCCTTGATGGAGTTCGAAGATGAGCATTTTCCGCTTAGGGTAAGCAGAGATAAGCAATTTGATTGGTTGATACTTTGGGGCACGATAACTCTCTTCCTAATTGAGCTAGAATGTTCAAACTTGGTGTATGTGTTGATTAGGTCAATGCCTTGATGGAGTTCGAAGATGAGCATTTTCCGCTTAGGGTAAGCAGAGATAAGCAATTTGATTGGTTGATGCTTTGGGACACGATAACTTTAGTTCTAATTAAGTGAGATTGATGAAACTTGGTGTATAGTTTCATTACAGTAATACCTTGACTAAGTTTGATAATTGAGCATTTTCTGCTCAGGGTAAGCAGAGCGATACGCAATTTGATTGGTCGAGACTTTTGAAGAAGCTTTCCAATGTATTACCCCTGTAATTCCTCCTCTTTTATCTGTACAATATTTTCAAAAAAAATGAAACGAAATCCACTTATGTATACATTTAGGTTACATTATAGCCTACATGTCCCGACTCAACTTGCCACATTACATGTCATAATATTATAACCAGGTATTGATAAAAGCATCAATTGAGCAATTCCAATACAATCCAATACAATGAATATAGGCAAGGTAAATAAACAAATAAATGGAAAAAACAAATTGAAAAAGAAACTATAATAAATTAATTAAATATGTAGTATGCAATAATGAATTGACATTTAATGACAGAAAGAAAACAGTGAACTTTGCACAACTTGCAGCAAGATGGAAAATAGACCCGTTGATACAACCAAACTCTAGATCTGTAGGCATAGAGCATGTTTTCCCCTTAATATGCTATAATTATTCCATCAAAAACATTGTATGCTTAGACTATAAGTAAAGATATACTGTTTGATTGTTCAATACTTTGTAAAAGATAATTTGTGATAAATTTATATGTGTCCTCTAATTATTTTCCTATTTCGGCGGGGGACATCAGCCTCACTGTTGGCTTGTTAAAATACAGATCTATATTTCGTTTCGTTTTTTTGTATGTCCACATTGAAATGTGGTCGTATATTGTCGTTGCCCTTGTCCGTCCGTCCCGCGTCCACAAGTTAATATCCAATTGACTTGAAATTTATACAGCGTGTTTAAGGTCATGAAACGAAGGATCCTATTGATTTTCAGCGATTGTTGTTGTCTGGCAACCTATCTTTAAACTTTCGATGGCCTACACTACATGAGGTTGTGTCAGGGGTTATATGAGAGGCTTTTGACCCTATGATGTCTGACATTGATTAATCAATCAGCGTTGTCGTTTCTAGGGGTTTACCCACAGTTCCGTGCAGAGCATGCCAAGAACTCGCTGTAACAGACCGTTTGATGGGCTATTACCTCACATTAACTAGAACGACTGTTATATACCAACTCTTCCAGATCCTAGTGTTGTGAAGATAAGTAAAACAAAATTTTGAACTATAAAAAACAAAATGAAATAGTATCTGTGTTTTAATCAGATTGGCCGAATTTCAACAAATTCTGTAAATTACTTCCAGAGTTAAGACCCTTGTTTCAGTTTGTAGAACCCTCAAACGACGAAATTTATAATCTGATCTGAATGAAATTGTCTTGTAAATGCCCCCAATTACCTACAAAAGAATAAATATGTGACAACCCTTGTGACGAGGGGATCACGTGGTTAAGACGCTGGCTCGCTAGCCTGGAGGTCAGGTGTTCGATCCCTGCATTGGCCGAGAAAGTTCATTCAGATTTTCCGGCATGGTTTCCCCTTGTCAGTGATGCAGGATGGAGGATAACTGTCTAGTCGTTCGGATGGGACGGAAAACTGAGGTCCCGTGTACACATTGACATGCATGTAAAAGATCCCTTGGCAGTTGGAATTCGATATAAGAGTAGGCCGTAGCGCCGCTGCCCGGGCAAAATTACCCTCATTGCACACTGTACGACGTATGCCCATCTTCATTAGCCCAGGTTAGGAGCAGAACAGTAGGACGTTAAACCCCATTTCATTTCCGCTCGCACGATTTAGCTGCTGTGGGCGTATGTTTCTTGCCAGGCAACCTATCTTTAATTTATGTCAATTATGTCGACAGCTTAAACAAAGTAGCTGCTGTGGTCGTAGGTTTCGCTGTCTGGCAACCTATCTTTTAGCCTACTTTTCAGGAATTTCTTGTTGGACGGATTGTATTGACCTCTACAGTTTTATTGCAAAAGTTAATGTAATTTAGAGGATAGATGGATAGGGGGGGTTTGGGGGGTCCAGACTTTTTCGTTTTACTAATTAAAATAATACATATCAATTTCATACAGATCAGATGATAACTTTTGTCGTTCGAACATTCACAAGGTTCAACAAAGTAAAACAAGGGCCATAACTCTAGAAGTAATTGACAGAAATTGCTGACATTCAATAGGGTTCTTCATTTCACTAATTTAAATGATGCATATGAATTTCATACAGATTGGGTGATAACTTTTGTCGTTCAAGCGTTCACAAGATTCAACAAAGTGAAACAAGGGCCATAACTCTAGATGTAATTAACGGAAATTGATGAAATTCAATAAGCTTCTTTGTTTTACTAATCTAAATGATGCATATAAATTTCATACAGATCGGATAATAACTTTTGTCGTTAGAGCACAAACAAGGTATAAAAAAGGGAAACAAGGGCCATAACTCACAGCGTAATTAAAGGAAATTGCTGAAATTCAATAGGATTCTTCGTTTCACTAATTTACATGATGCATGTCAATTTCAAACAGATCGGATGATAACTGTTGTCATTAGAGCGTTCACAAGATTCAACAAAGTGAAACAAGGGCCATAACTCTAGATGTAATTAACAGAAATTGCTGAAATTCAATAGGCTTCTTTTTTTTTACTGATTTAAATGATGCATATAAATTTCATACAGATCGATTGATAACTTTTGTTGTTAGAGTGTTCACAAGAAGCAACAAAGTGAAACAAGGGCCATAACTCTAGATGTAATTAAAGGAAATTGCTGAAATTCAATAAGCTTCTTTGTTTTACTAATCTAAATGATGCATATGAATTTCATACAGATCAGATAATAACTTTTGTCGTTAGAGCATTCACAATGTACAACAAAGTGAAACAAGGGCCATAACTCATGACGTAAGTAACGGAAATTGCTCAAATTCAATAGGCTTCTTCGTTTCACCAATTTAAATCATGCATATCAATTTCAAACAGATCGGATGATAACGGTTGTCATTAGAGCATTCACAAGATTCAACAAAGTGAAACAAGGGCCATAACTCTAGATGTAATTAACGGAAATTTCTGAAATTCAATAGGCCTCGTTGTTTTACTAATTTAAATGATGCATATAAATTTCATACAGATCGGTTGATAACTTTTGTCGTTTGAGCGTTAACAAGGTGCAACAAAGTGAAACAAGGGCCATAACTCCAGACAAAATTAACGAAAGTTATTGAAATTAAATAGGCATCTTCATCTTACTAATGCAAACAACATATATCAATTTCAAAACAATCAGATGATAAATGTAGTCTGTAGAGTGTTCACAAGAAATTGTGGACGACGGACGGGGGGCGACGGCAATATACGACCACATTTCCATGTGGGCGTATAAAAATTAATGCTTTGCATCAATAATTAAATTGAATCACAATGTCATCGTATTAATTCATAATAAAAATTGACGTCAAACAGGATGTTGGATTTCTCTGTTTAAAAAGCTCAATGTGTATGTATATACGCCAAAATGACAATAGAGGCCATTTATTTCTGTTGCTTTGTTATGAAGCCATGAACAAACAAAATAAGTTGGGGATACAAAAAAAAGCTTATCAATCAAATTGTGCAACATAATTTATGACAGACTACTGAATCAACAGATATTTTCCAGCTAAATCAAAGAGGTTGTTTCTGAGGAGAATGAGATACATAGAACATCATTTGCTTTAATAATATTTATTGCACATATCACTGACACTCCATTGCACTGAATCATACATTTAAATAGCACAACATAAAATTACATTATTATGCCTTAAAAATCGAGAATGTATCAATGATTAATTTTTTTAAAAATGGACTACTAACATTCTTGATTGTAGCAGCCACTTAATCTGAAAAATGTCTACTGTTTAAATTGTTTTACTTTTTTCTAAAAATCGTACATAGGGCACAGAAAACTACTAAAGCACATTTTAATATAACATAGATGACAATGGCACACAAAAAAATATAATTAATAAAACTGTTGACTGGGGAGGACTAGGATTTCTTGAGACAAATTTTTTTTTAATGTTTTGGTGGTGTTTTTAGTCCAAAGAGCATGAAGTGTAAAGAAAATTCCTCACACTTTCACTACCATGTAAATGCAGTTATTTTTATGATTTAATATATGAACATGAATTAAATGTTTCAATATAAAATAATAAATAAAATGTATAAAATCAGAAAGAAACCACCATAAATTCTTTTCCTAATTTTCACAGTACAGTAGTTTTTTTAATCAGTAAATAATAAATGGTGTCAGATATCTACATATGATATGCAATGAATGTGCTTTTTTAGACATGGTTAATTCTACAATCATGTGTTCGTTCTAGTAAATTAGGTAAGGGGAGGAATGGGAGTTAACAATACTTTCATATTTTAAAACAAACATAGTATCTTATTCATTCAGATCTGATGGAAAACTAAGTCACATGTACAAATTGGTTGCACAAGATCCCGTTGCAGTTGAAATAAAAAGAGGACATGAAAACAGGCAAGCAGGAAAAATATTATCCCACTTACATCCAAACATAAGCAGAGAAATATAACTTCCCATGTTAGTCTCAAAAATAATGGCAGTACTATGATGACAGTTTATTCCTATAGATTGCCTTATTTTCTATTAGGTATTTTGAGGTACTGGATATATCCACAACCCTGTGTTAAGCATCTATCATACAGTGTTAATTTACATGTTAATATATATATTAAAAAGATGCCTTAAGTTCTTAAAAACAAAAAAACAAAGAGAAATAATAATACAACTAAAGCATGAATAACCGAATACATTCATTCTAAAATGTAAAAAAAAAGAGACCAGGATCAAAAAATTGTTGAGTCAGGAAATAAAGCAAGATAAGAAGCTAATTTCAGTTTAAAGTTCTTATCTTGCAGTATATTTTGATAATTATTTCTTACTACAGAACATATTTTTGAAGCTGAAATGAATTTTAAAAGCAGGATGAGCATCAACCGATAAAATTATATTAAATGATAATTAAACATATCTACTTCTGTGTTTCTACACATTAGGAATATAATCACTAACAAAACATCACTAATAGACATAAGGTAAAACACCTGTTAAAGTTTAACTAATAAAATATTCAGTAGACTCTTGAATCCAGTCTAATAAAGTCATTTTATTAACATTACAAGAATAGATTTAAACAAATAAAATTGGTGCTGGGTGGACTTTTTAGTCAATCTATGCATTTGTAACAAAAAAAAAAGATAAATTTTTTGGCATTTCAAGATGGCATTGCTCTAATAATAAACCACTTATTACAGATTTTCTAGTATTTGTGGATTTACTTTTGAAATTACATGTATTTGATATAGATGGTATGGAATCTAGTATATTAATAATCAAGAAATTCAAGTGATTTTTTGCATAATAAAATTTGGAAAGTATGTCATGCATACAATGAAGAAATGAGTTTACAATATGTGTACTTAATAAAATATACATCATCATAAAATATAAAGTCTATTATATTATTTTGGTGTCAAAATACATTGGGTATACCTGCTGATTTTCTATCCTTTGATGATACATACCGGTATATATCTTTATTATGACCTTTTTATTCTATTATAATAATATAGGAAAATAAGTGATGTCTGACTAACCAACATATCAAAAGCTATCTTTTATTTGGATATCTATTATGAAACCTAAGATTGGTTTTGTTAAATTATTATTGTTAACAAGCTGACATCAATGAATTAAAACAATACATCTATAAAAGAAGATGAATCTATAACATTATGATGGGAGAAGATAATAAAAAGTTTTTACAATGTAAACAATGTTTGATTCAAGTGATAATGCAATATACAATTAACAATAATTGACAGAGAAAAATGTTGTCTGAATAATATAGTAGACAAACAGCAAATAATTTAAACATGCAAAATATATTACAATGACATTACCGTATGTGGACTGCACACAAATTATGAATGGTACAGTCTTAACTTCATTTATAGGTTTATAGACATGTCTATGCAAGGTCACTACAAATAAAGTAAAGACAGAACTGAAGAATTCATTCTTCAGAACAAAATAGAGAGTATGAACTTATTATAAAATTTATGAAAAGCTCTACATTTTATCAAAAGCAAGCATGGTGTTTTATACAGATTGTTGAAATTTCTAAAAGTGATAGTATACATATTTATTCTGATAATTTTTTACTTTGCAAAAAGTATCAAGATTAAAGAAAAATCAAATGTCTATTAAAATTGATTTCAATAATTTCATTTGTATTTGTAAATAATTTTAATTGATAATATCTTGTTAAAATTAAAAAAACATTGTGATGCACAAGCTGTGTACATGTACATACAATAAATTTATGCAATTATTTTGAAATATCATCCTTATTGAAAAATCTTGAATTACCAACAATTAAAAACAAACATTTTGTAAAGACAAAGAAGAACTTACTACATATGTATCAAAAAGTATAAGAAGCACTAAAAGAATAATTTACAAATATTTAAACAATAATTTCATATCAAATAAATTTATTTTGTTCTTTTGTCAATGAATGGATTGTCAGTTTCGCTACATATAAATTGTTTTGGACATCGAACAAAAACTTATTTTAGTGCATGCATATAGGGTGGGTTTACTGTGTCAATATATATGTATAGAATTCCAGATTTGATTTGATCTGTTATTTTATTGATGGATGAGCTCAAAACCTCACAATAAAATTTCTATCTCTTTTACTTTTTATTTTAACCTACAAATAAAAGAGGCCCTGTCCTCAGGTATACAGTAATTATTTTTCATTATTACTAAATTGATGATGAAATTTGTTAATTAACTTGCCAGTATAAAAAAGTGGATTGGTCTTTACTTAAGTACCGGTATTCTACAAAATAAACTGAAGGCAAAAGCGTCTGTATGCATGACTATACATGTAGATATAATTAAACAACATTATGTGTGACAAATGAGGAGGATTTCTACATCAAATATAGTGTAGAATATATTTAAATATCAACAACAAATATATAAGACTAATTAATTATTTCAAAAACAGTAATAATTAATAGAAGACAGTAACTATTTACACATAATACATATATACATTAACAACTGATCTACTTGACATGCAACTAAATCTATATACATGTAAAACAGTGTGAGATTCATCATGTACAAAAACATCTCAACAAGATGTGAAGACTATTAAAGTTATCTCCCTTTCCTGTACACCCAAGAACTACTAGTAAATGCATGCGAGCTTTCAACATTTAAACTTAAATTGTAATTATTTTCATATATTTGTTGTACATTTGAGTTTGAGTGCAGAAATTATATCAAAATAAACCATAAAATATATATGTATATATTTACAAAATGTGTTTTAAAAAAGTCATTGTTTGGTCTTACCAGTCAATGTAACTTCTGTATAAAACAAACAATTTTACAAATAGTTCTTGTATTGTTCTGAAAGCACCTTATTGTTGTCCTTGATAACGGGAGAGTAAAAATATACAGAGTGAAATGTATAGTCTACTTTGAAAATGGTTTTACAAAACAATTGGAATTTGTATTTCTTAAAAATATAATTTTCTGAAAATATATATTCTGAAAATTAAATTCTGATTCCCAAAAGATATAATATTGTTCAGAGGCTTTAAATTTACTTTGAGTCAGCAATTTCTTGTTTCATACATTTCACTCTGCAATTTAAAGAAAATTACACCATTAAAAATGTTTTACACATGACTACATACATGTATAACTTACACACATTAGGTAGACAGAAGATAAATAATATGCGTACATGTATAATGAATTAAATACATATATGATAATAATAGCACAGTTATTACAATATTCTACAATACCTAGTATGTAAGTATAAATTATGAACATAAATACTTACTTTGAGCATATTTATCTACATTATATGTATTATACACTTTGATATTCATTAAGGCAGAAAGAAACAACTAACAACAGTTCTATGATATTAAACCTGATATATCAATATTTTAGTGACTACATGTATTAATGAAACCTACCACTACTACATTTTACATTGATCCTTTATAGTAAATACTGTAAACATGAAAATTATATCTATGTGTTCCATTTTTACTTTTGTATAACATATGTTCAGTTGTCAATAATTGAGAAACAATGGCTGTATAAATAAATATAATTGTAAATCTGTTTACAGCTTCACAAAAGGCCCTTATATCCTTTTTGCAAATCCATGTCAAAGTAAAACACACAATAATTTTCAAATTTAACAGTATTAACTATTATTCAAAGTGATCATTAATATTAATAAATGTAAAACAGTAACTCAAGTAAGAGATTCTGATCTTTACTAGCCATCCATAAACAATGTCAGATATTTTAATCTCATATCTTCTATCTTTGTACATCTGACTCAGTCTTTGGTGTTCACATTGTCAATTACTACCCTGTATTCAGCACATTCTGTAACTTTATTTCTAACTTTGTTTATATGTATCAGACACATAGAACTTTGTTCTTGTATTTGTAACAACTAAAATAACAACACATTTTCTATTCACCTTGTATTAAACACAATATATCACATGTTAACTTGTTGGTAACAACTGCCCACTAATGTTTGTATTTTGAGGTTCTACTTCAGCAGCACCATTTTGAAGTTCATTTTGATTGTGTTTACCTTCTAACATGAGCCCTAACACATAAAACTGAGATTTATCTGTGAATGATTGACTGCAAATTTGACAAATAAATCTCTTTTGATCAGTGTTCAATAATAAATGTTTATCATAAGGAGATTCCAAAGTAAATTCTTTGTGGCACTCTTCACAAGCCACAGTCTGTTGCCCTGTATGACATTTCATGTGTTCAGTGAGAGCTGCCTGAGACACAAAATTTTTACGACATTCACCACAATTAAATGGTTTGGCCTTATGAGCAGTAGAGATATGGTTCTGCAGTGCTTTCTTATTAGGGAAACCTCGTTTACATTCTGGGCAAGAATACAGGTGGATTTCTGGATGATCACTGGATATGTGAAGCGTCATCTTCTTCTTTTCTGAAAATCCCTTACTACAAACGGGGCAAATGAATGGTTCTAGACCAGTATGGGTAGTCATATGGGCTCGTAATCTTTTCTTATCTTTGTACGCCTTATCACAAATATGACATGCGAAGGGAGTTTCAGACGTGTGAGTTAGCATGTGCTTCTTTTCTAAATCATACTTATTAGAGAAATGTCTACCACACAACTTACAAACATAGGGATTATTGTGAATACCCTTATGTCGTAATAAACTTCTATGATGGATGAATTTACTGCCACATATGTCACAGCTATAGGGTTTATCTTCATCCGTCTCTGCTGCTACTTTTACTTTAGATTTTTCTGAAGGTGGATTTTTGTCTTTTTTATCTGGAACTGGTGGTGTGACTGGAACAGGCGTGGCTGTGACAGGTAAAGGCATGGATAGATCCTGATCATCTGTATGAAGTATTTTCTGATCCACGGTTGAACTTTCGACTGAATTTTCTGCGGGAGGGGGTGATTCATGTTTTATTTCCATGGGCATATGCATCGTTGGCATAACGGGACTAGGCTGATTTTGTAGTTTGACACTTTCAGAGCAAAGTTTATCGACAATAACATTACTTAATTCAGCATACGTCTTCATTTCAGTTTCAATTGTTGACTGTAAATCATAGTTTTTTTCATAATTTTGAGTATCCATAGCTTCAGGATAAATATCTTGGAATTCATACCCACCATTCATAAGCATGCCATCTTTCGGATCAAACTGCTGGAACTCTGATGTTTGAGGTTCATGAGGTTTGTTATCTTCTACAGAAATGTTTAAATACTGTGTGGTTCCATTTTGATCAGTTTGGATATGAGTAACTGGAAGAGCAACCTTTTCCAAATTGACAATGGTGGCATTAGAATTGGTTGGCATTTCATCAAGACAAAGTGAGGATTTCGGTTGTATCATCCCTATATTATTATCAGTGTATTGGTAAGTAGGGAATTCTGTTGGGTATTCTGTCAGTGTGATAAATTCCTTGTCAGCACCTGACGCCATGATAACCTTCAGATCATTTTCTGACAGTTGATTGCTAAACAATATTTTAGCATGGTCCATTCTTGTTAATTGGCGTGGTGCCAGATTTGAGTCAATAACAGATACTTCCGTAGATTGATCAACTGGTAACTGGTCAACTGGTAGGCTGTTAATCTCGGAGTTCTCATGGTTGTCTGTAGAAACAGTTGAGAGCGGAGTAGAAATGTGACTTATGCCATCTGCATTGGTATATATTGGTACATCAACAAAATAATCTTGAATGAGATTCATGACAGGAGCGACACCATCTTTATCTGTTATCGTGGTCAGTAATTCTGTAGCTGATTGTGTCTCGCCATGATTTGCCATATCCATAGGAATAATATGCTGTATTTGTTCTCCCAAGGTACCATGTAAAACATGTTCTCCTAAAGCACCCTGTAAAACAACAGTATTAATGGTATTGCCTGTAAACATGTCAGTAGTAGCCAGCGCCACAGCACCATTATTGAGGTTATTTAAATCGGCTTGAGTATATATAAAACTGGTAGGAGCAACATTTTGTAACTGTATTAAATTACTGCTCGTCTCTACCATGGTGTTTATGTTTGGTGTTACAGATACAGCTACCGGTGCTGTCGATTGTGAGGTAACTGCAGTCTGTGAAACAGGGGTCAGCAGGGTGGCTGGTTTTGTTGTGGGTATTGTGTTGATCTTTGTATGCATAGTGGGACCTTTACATGATGCCTCATGTGCTTTACATTTAGCTCTGTCAAGATATCCATGTCCACACTTTTCACAGGAATATGGCCGTTCTTGGGTGTGAGTGTAGCTATGTCGTTTTAATCTTGATCTCTCTATAAACCCTTTACCACATATTTCACAAACAAAAGGTTTTTTATCACTGTGGGTCAGCATGTGCTTCTTCACACTATACTTCTGGTGGAACAATTTACCACAGGTCTCACAGGCAAATCTTCTCTCGGGTGACTTAGATCCGCCTGCTGAACAAGAATGTTGTTCAAATTTTTCTTGGGAGCTGAAACTAATCTTACACTTCTGACAGGCGAATAAATTTGTTTTGGGTATGCTACCTGTGTGTGTAAGAGAATGAGCCTCCAAATCAATTTGTTTTTCAAACTGACTCTGGCAAATGGTACAGGAATATAAATAAACTGGTTCAGGTACTGGGACTGAAGCTGGCGTAGGTGTAACTGTAAGTGCTGTTGTGACATTCGTAGTTGTAATATTATCCATTTGGTAGTCAGCCTCTGATGATTCTGGTGTTGGTGCAATTTGTAACATTCCGGTATTCATATTATTAGTATCTGGAATAAATGTGAGAATTCCATTTACATTTTCACCAAAATGTCCAGCCACTAAAGGAGTGGATATTGGAGTTGACCGTTCACTCGAATTTGTCTCAGAATTAACGTTATCAATTGGTTTGTGGGTTTCTTCGTGAGCTTTTAAGTTCTTCTTAACAGTAAACCCCCGGCCACACATTTGACATATAAACGGTTTTTCAGTTGTGTGCATGTAGGAATGACGTTTCAATCGAGATTTCTCAATAAACCCCTTTCCACAGACATCACAAACATAGGGTTTTTCACTCGAGTGAATGAGCATATGTTTCTTTTCTAACTGGTACTTACTGGCAAATGCCTTGCCACAAATTTTACAAACATGGTCCTTTTCTGAACTGTCCCCAGTTTTCTTTACTAGCGTATCTACAGTACAAATATGTTTTGCCGATTCATCTAAACTGTTAAAACTACAACCACAATGTTCACACGTATAAACCTGTCTTGGTTTAGATTTAATTTCTGATTGTGAATGGGTCAAAAAATGTGCGTCTAAGTCCTTCTTTTCTGAAAAATTATTTTTACAAACTGAACAAGGGTACACTTTCTCTTTTGAGTGGGCTGCTATGTGAGCTTTTAAGTCTACTTCATTTTGAAAGCCTATTCCACATTCTTTACAAGTCAGTTCTCTGGCTGCTGCATGAATAATTGTGTGAACTTTTAATTCTGTTTCTTTCTTAAAGCCAATTCCACACTCAGTACAGATATAAGGAGTATCCATACTGTGCTGAACTTCGATCTGAAGAATCAAATCTTTATCATCAAAAGGGGATTACCACGATGGCTGCACACTAATGCATGTGCAAGTCTTTTTTCCATTTTCTAAAAAATATTGTCAATGACATCTTGATATTTAGTCCAGCTTCATTCACTAACACAAATCATGAGCTATGCGGTAAGTGTTTTTAAAGGTAGGCCTACTGTATTGATTATGCAATATATTGTCTAACAGAACACTGTAAATTCCAATATGCAGCAAAATGTCACTCAGTGTTTATCATAAACAAAAACAATGGATGGTCAGATAAACATCTGTCTACATCCTATAATAATAGTTTAATAATGGATGATTTAGATTATGATGTTGGTTGTGTTTACAAAATGGAGGTCACTTGAATTATGCCATCAAATGTCTATTATTTGCTATCGAATGAAGAATAACCGTAAAAAATACTTAAAACTTTGCAACCGATACTTCAAAATTAACAATACACAATCAGAAGTAGGGTCAACACAGGTGAGCCGCCAACTGACATAAATTTATGAGTTTTAATTATGCTGTCATTTTTCATCGAGGTAATGTATTCACTTCATACTTCAGTTTTCACGGACCATATTCGGCTCCCGGGTCTGCTAGTATTGCTAGATGATAATTCCAATTCCTTTAACATAATGTGAACATCCCAAATCTTATATTTGACCTCTCTTAGGGTGAAAATTTGATAAAAGCGAATAAACAAAGAAATCTTCGAGTGCGGTTCCGGTTATCTCTTCCTTAAAGGGAAATAACTCTTGGGAAGATTTTATGGATGCATTAATGCACGGCATTTTTTTTATGTGACCGATTTGATGATGAAATCAATATCGGTTACTTTTTTTCCATTCCACCGCAAAATCTGTCACGACCAAACAGATGGATGTGATCCAGTATTTATAGAAAAATAAATTGTGAGAGGGGAACACTGCTGGGGTCTGGGATGTTATCTTTTAGGGTTTGATTGTTTTTCTTTTAACCAAAAATGAAATGAATGTAATAGAATGAATTAAAATTTCGTTACATCTGGGACAACAAATAATTTTAAACATTTAATATCCCTGACTATTATATAAACAAATATTTTCATAATATTATTATAGTCTGTGGTTTGAAACAAATTGAGCCTTAATATAGACAAAGACCATTGTTAGATCTATTTTGGAGTATGTGCGCTCCTATCAAAATCACAATAAATTGCATTTTAGCCTGTTTTGTTCTACATACGAGATTCAATTAAATATTATGAAATAATTTTTGAAATGTTTATCTAGGCACGCTACTACTGTTTATTATTATCATCATTGAATTGAGGTAGTATAAATTGATCGTTTCAACAAATTATTTCGCTTTTTTTAATGCATTGAATTATACAATTTGCTACATTAACCCTGGTTCACAAATATCGGTCTGTTAACTCGCATCTAGATATTATTCATCAGATCCTAATTTTACTACTTTTTTTTACAAATTTAATACAGACTATTTAATTCTCCGCCATTTCATCTTGAAGAAATACCCCAAATGGGTGTAAGATCAATTTTAATAGTCGCTTTACTTATGTAAATACCACTAATAAAAGGGCTGAAATGTGTAGTTAAATAGTAATTTAGACGTACCCCCCCCCCCCCGAAAAAACCCAACAAACACCTATGGTTAGATACTATCTTTAGCTCAGGCGTTGGGGACATTACCTGAGAAGAAATACAAAAGTTCTTATAATCTCGACGAAAAGACCACAATTCAGAAGATACAATCGAAATTTTAAGATATACTGCAATTTGATTGGCTGACCAATATGCAAATTGGATATATGCAAATTGATTTTACTGGTCAGCCAATCGAATTGCAGTATTTCTTAAAATTTCGACTGTATCTTAGTTTAAGTTTTCGTGAATAAGGGCCCATAACTGTAAAGTTCTGTGATTTTAGGTGCGCAAATGCCTAATTCTTCGTCTGATAGCCCCAGTAATAAAACATTAAACACCCCAGATATGCCTACCATCTTTTGTCCCCCAAATCTTATTTTCAATTGTGTCAATGCAGTATCAACTAGTTAATTCTCCAAAGAACTGTTTGTGTTTGTGTTTTTGTACTGAAGCCTGGTGTTATCTTCCACTCAGAAGCTAAAGCGTTCACGGTTAAAATTATTTTGGACCACGCCTGTCGCAGATATTGAAGTTCCCTAAAAGCCATGATAGTAAAGTGGTCGATGACGACAAATCAATCCCTACATCTTATCAAACCCTTCATGTAATACTTCGCATTTTTCGGCATTAATTTCGATTGGGTACTGACCCAGCTTGAGAGCGTATCAGATTCCTCGATCATCGCGAATACCAAGTTGCAATATTCAAGGTCGCCATGTTTTGATTTGAGTGTGTTTGATCGGACGCTACAGTTCACGTGTCTGTGGTAAAGGCGGATGATGTAGCTATAAGTACGGGGATTGCAAAACAATGGAGCAACGTCTGGATGTAAAACTCGCGGTCGTTGCTTCACGAACATGGTGAACCCCTGGCACTCACTTTGCCATTTGTTTGTTGAAATGAAATGAACTGAATGAAATGGGGGTTAATGCCCTACTGAGCTGAGGAAGACAGACACACGTCATATAGTGTGTTATGAGGGAAATTTCATTCGTTTGTTGAACCCGTGCCATTCTGTCATTCGTCTGGCCAAATTTGTCATTCACTTTGTCATTCGTCTGGCGAACCCTTGTTCATTCGTCTGGTAAACCTCGTGACATTCATCCGGTGAATCTCTTGGCATCCACTTTGTTATTCGTTGTAAATCTCTTGTCATCCTTTGTCATTCGTCAGTTTCTTTCATCGGTCTGGTCAACCCCTGTCATCCGTCAGTTTAATCTGTCATTGGTCTGGTGAACCCCGTCATTCACGTTGCCATTCGTATGGTGAAGCTCTGCCATCGGATGAAACTGTACCATTCTCTGTCATTCGTCTGGTGATTTCTGTCATTCACTTTGTCATTCATATGGTGAGGTGAAGCTCTGTCATTCACTTTGTCAATCGTCAGGTGGACCTGTCATTCGTCCGGTGAACCCGTGCCATTCGTCTGGTGAGCACGTGTCATTTTGTGTCATTCATTTGGTGAACCTTTTGTCATTCACTTTGTCATTCGTCCGGTGAATCTCTTGTAATCATGGGCCTATTTTAAGGTTTTGTTAACGAAGCACGATTTCCGTATAGATGGTTTTTAGGAGTATTTTCCCCCCTTGGATCCTAACAAATGTTCCAAAACGTGACTCACGATTTTCCACACAGAACTTGACAGGCCCATTGTAGCGTCTTCCATCACCTTTATCAGCTCTACTATGTCATAATAAACCTGAAATTAATTGTGACCAAAACAAAGGTTCGCCAGAAATGGAATAAAAACTCACACTTTTATAATCAAACAAGCGGTTGCAATACACGATACGCAGAGATTTTGTGAGAGATGGACAGGGAACTGGGAAAATCGACAGGTCTCACCCTTTCATTGTCCCATTGCCTCACAGCGAATACAAACCTGTAGCCTATATCACGTTCACAAAGTTTTTGGAGAAGTTTGTTAACCCGAGAAGGGAAGGTCACGAGAGAGAGAGAGAGAGAGATGGGTTTAACGTCCACGCGACACAAACTAGGTCATTTCAGGACTAACATATGGTTCAATTTTATTTCATTAATTCGATTGCGCGTAGGGGTCTTTAACAGTGGGAAGAACCGGAGAAAACCCACGAGGTTGGAAGACGATCCAACTCCTGATCACGTACAAGGGGAGAATCTAAACCACGCCACGTGATTCAATGACAGACCTAATGATACAACGCGCACGCATTATAGACCGGAGGCTCAGTGTGCGATGGTGTCCATCAAATGGACACAAAACCAGACCCAACTTTTCTATAGTAAAATTTTGCGTAGAATACGATGTCGAGTGGTAATCAGTCCGCTGTTGGGGCGTTTTCGAGATATTCTGCGTCAAATGAGGTCATTTGCACTTAGAGTGAGTGCGCAGCCATTCTTATATCATGAAAATGATCGAAAGTAATCACCCTTTCAATAAAAATGTTAAATTCTTAGTGATCCCGGAGGTCAAAAGGTGAAATTTTCCGTTTTTGCAGGAGGAAGATTTAAAGCAATAAAATGTCAGCGTAAAATATAAAAACTAAAACGAAACCTGTTCTAATTTATAGTCGGAACATTTAAAACTTATCTTTAGGTGGTCTTAGCGTGGAATGTCGAAATAGATATCTTGCATAACAGTACCAACACACTTTGAAATCTGTTTCAAAAATACGTAAAAACTGTCAAATCGAAATCTCCCCGATTTAGTTTAACAACGATTGTTATACATAATGAAACTAGTTGTTTGAAAAACAATTGAATAGTTTCATGGTTGGACTCCAGCCTGCAGGACGCGTGGATTTCTGGGAACCCCAATCTTGGAAAACCGACCGGAAAACATGCATCTGACGACGATATAAAAAGTTTGCAAATTTTTTATGAGTTTTCATGAATTTCGCCGGAACATGGACACAGATAAAACCGACGGATGCATTGTACATAATAGCTTACGGGATATAAATGTCGTATTGGTAAATATCACCAGGGCTTGTCTGCGATATCACCTCGGTGGAAGCGGATGTAAATACAACTAACAAACAACATATCACCGGGGAAAAGTTTGACAGGCTTTGTGACGCGGCCTGCACAGACTAGAGTCCAGCCATGAAACTATTCAATTGTTTTTTCAGACAACTAGTATCATTATGTATAGCATTCGTTGTAAAATCAATTCGGAGAGATTTTGATTTGACAGTTTTTACGTATTTTCAAACAGGTTTTCGAAGTGTTTTGGTTCTGTTATGCAATGTCTTTTTCGACGTTCCAAAGTAAAAGTTCGGTGCTTAGACCACCTAAAGATACATTTTAAATGTTCCTATTAATAATTAGAACAGGTTTCGCTTTAGTTTTTATATTTTACGCTGACATTTATTGCTTTAAATCTTCCTAGTGCTAAAACGGAAAAATTTCACCTTTGAACTCAGGGGTCACAAAGAACAAAGGTGAATTTAGCAAGTTTACATTTTTATTGAAAGGGTGATTACTTTCGAACATTTTCATCTTTTTTTTTTCATGATACAAGAACGGCTGCACATTCACTTTTAGTGCAAGTGAACTCATTTGACCTTTCACCCCGAATATCTCGAAAACGCCCCAGTGGCGGATTGATTACCACCCGGCATCGTATTCTTTGCAAAATTTTACTATAAAAAAGTTGCGTCTGGTTTTGTGCCCATTTGATGGACACCCCTCTGCACTGAGCCTCCAGACTATTAACCATTCGGCCACCCAACCCCCCTAAGGAAGGTCACGAAAGCTGAATATTGATGGGATTTGTCGTTTCATGACCCCAATGTTTCACACCAAATTTGAAAAAAAAACCGATACCTTCTATATATCGCTTCCACAAGGTTTAAGTGGGGGCTTACCTCTGGAACTGAAGGTTGCGGAATGCTGATTATCGACAGGATTCGTGCTCCCATGTTCCCAATTCATCACACTAGAAAGCTCACAAACTTTACTATAAACTAAGCAGTTGCACCAATATTGAATTTATCCAAGATCTTTTGATCCTCAACATCTAAAATGGTGGATATATCTGAAGTCCCCCCCCCCCCCCTTAATACTTTTGCCATGCCATAAGCTATCAATCTTGTCTTGTCCCATAGCCATGGACAATCCGAAAATCATATTAATGACATGTTTTTGATTGTGTTGTGGGTGCTTCCGAAGTAAATGTAGTCTGTGGTGGACAAGAATCACCACCAGCAGATAAATAAAGTCAAAAGATTTAATATATATATATATACAGAATCTTTATTACATAATTGTTAAAATATATAATAACTTGTCACACACACATAAATGGGTAATAATGATATAGCTATATAAATAGACCAGATTTACATATAGGATTGTTAACCTGATGAATTGTGTCATTGTATAATATGACCAACTTTAATATCACCTAACCATAAAATTTCCAAACTTTTTAGCCAGTTTTTGTTTTTTTTGGACAGTCATATGTGTAAAATTAACATACATGAAGAAAATTGCTGATGATAGTCTTCAATACAACTGTTTGTAAGAGTAAATAAAATCATGATACATTAAGATTTAAACCACACAACAAAGTTTATCTTAAAATGTAATGTTCTATATTGATTGCTTCGGAATCCATGCTAATAGCTGTGGTTTCTTCGAGCTGATCTGGATAACATGAAGATGGAGTACTCTCATAAAATCTCAGCCAAATTAAAGACTATATTCTCTTGGCTACCTTGCTAAGAATATATTTTAGAAGCTTATAAACAGGCTTAATAACATAAATGGAACAGCACCTTTATAAACGGCCCTGCATCCAGTAGACAGTTTGCTTTGCAATAGTTGTCTTCACAAGCTGGAACTGACCATGGTGTAATGATACAATACTTGATTGCCAAATAACAAACCGTGTCTAACATAACACTTGCTTCTACTGATTGCAGGGAAGGATCTAATGATTCGAAGGCCTTTTAGTCACCCATTTATTTTTGTGTCTTTATGTTAATTGTTAGTCCATAAAAAATTATCTACATATATGGAAATATTTCTTCATAAATATTCTACAAAAAATTGACACATAAAAACAGTGTAAACATTTATCAAACACCATGCATACACTGTATCTGAAGATATCTTACCAAGACTCTTTTAAATAAAAATTTTAGGGTTACAAGTATGAATACATTTGTCAAACAGGTCTGGAAACAATATTTGAAAAAAAAAATACTAAAAACTGTTGATTCTGCTGCTACAGAGTAAAAAAAACCCATTTAATCTGTATTTTCATTTGATTGATAATAAAATAAGAAATAATAACAATAACCATACATACAATTCTAGATATTGATCTAATCTGATTGTATAAACATATACTACTGGCATAATATAACATTATCAATTCTATTCTATAAGTTCTAAGACAATAATTATGCCTTAAAGCTATAAACAATGACCTACAGTAGTAGGATTGAGAGAATTGTCTATCTTACTGACCAGAAATGCATATTACCTTAATGCAAATGTTACATCTAACAGATTATACTTTTCCAATAAATTTTATTGGACTAATAGTTTAAGAGCACCTATAAAATTTAAGTTGACACATTAATAACATATTACTGGTAATAACCAGCACTGGCAGTTAAGAAATGCTATTTTCTATAAACAGAAGACTTTCCCAATTTCACCAACCAAAGTAACAAATCCCAAAAAGTGAACATCATAATACATTACAGAAAAACATAAATCCACCATTTTTCTAACAAATTGTTTAGACTTAATTAACCATTACATGAGAAATTTTATAATGTATGTGATGTCTCCACAAAATTTTACTAGCATAATAATAATGACCTCAACTTTATATAAAAGTTTATAAATAAGCTTTAATATGAAAGTGTGTAAATAAGCTTTAAATGTACATAAACTGTTTATATTCCAGTAGTATGGAAAAAGCTATTAGAATTTTATATTGCACATTCACATGTATATACATGTATTTATGGTGTACTAGACTTATATAAATCAAGACTAAAATAATTTAAGAATTTTGTCTGACTGTAAACAAAAAGATAGGTTGTCAGGCAACGAAACATATGCCTAGAGCAGCTAAATCTTCCGGGCAGTCAACAAGAGTTGTCACATATTTTTATATCAAAATTCAATGAAAAAAAATATATACTTGTTTGTCTCAAGACTTTAAACTCTGTGTATCAATCTGAAGTCAATCGGATGATAACTTTAGCCTCTAGAGCGTCACACGATTTTCCAAAGTTATCAAGGGCCATAACTCTGGCAGTAATTATCGAAAATCGTTGAAAATTAATATGATTCTTTGTCTCATGACCTCAAACACTGTGTATCAATTTAAAGTCAATTGGATATTAACTTTAGCCTGTAGAGCATTTACAAGATTTTTTGATGTGATCAAGGGCCATAACTCTGGCAGTAATCATCAAAAATCGCTGAAAATAATTAGACTTCTTCGTCTCATGACCTTAAACACTGTGTATAAATTTAAACTCAATCGGATAATAACTTTAGCCTCTAGAGCGTCCACAGGATTTTTTCAAAGTGATCAGGGGCCATAACTCTGGCAGTAATTATTGCAAATCGCTGAAATTCAATTGGCTTCTTCGTCTCATGAAGTTAAATACTGTGATCAAGGACCATAACTCTGGCAGTAATTATCGAAAATTGCTGAAAATGAATAGACTTCTTCGTCTCATGACCTTGAACACTGAATCGGATATTAACTTTAGCCTCTAGAGCGTCCACAAGATTTTTTCAAAGTGATCAATGGCCATAAGTCTGACAGTAATTAGCGGAAATCGCTGAAAATCAATAGGCTTCTTTGTCTCATGACCTTAAACACTGTGTATAAATTTAAAGACAATCGGGTATTAACTTTGAGCTCTAGAGCATCCACAAGATTTTTTAAAGTGATCAAGGGCCATAACTCTGGAAGTAATTATCGGAAATTGATGAAAATCAATAGGCTTCTTCGTCTCATGACCTTAAACACTGTGTATAAATTAAAGTCAATCGGATATTGACTTTGACCTCTAGGGTGTCCACAAGACTTTTTGAAGTGATAAAGGGCCATAACTCTGGCAGTAATTATCGGAAATCGTTGAAAATCAATAGGCTTCTTTGTCTCATGACCTTAAACACTGTGTATAAATTTAAAGTCAATTGGATATTAACTTTAGCCTCTAGAGCGTCCACAAGCAATTGTGGATGCCGGACCGCCGGACGGACGGGGGCGACGACAATATACGACCACATTTCAATGTGGGCGTATAAAAATATATATTTGTACACTGCAGGTTTCTGGTAAAGCCAGTTTACCATAATAACATGTTTTGACACTATTGCTACAGCTGCTCCAATGACTACTTATCAGTATATATACACATTTATATTTTAATAAAAAAAACCCAAAAATACCACTATCTTATGGATTATATGTTCAGTACAGTATTGATCTGTATTTTAATAACTATGGATAAAGTTGTCTTTCTCTAACTCACAACATTATTTAAAGTGACTAACTACTGCAGTTTATTCAAAGAGATCTCAAGCTCTCTCTATCCAACGATTAAATCTTGATTCAAATTTAAAGGAGTAAGATCTACCTTCATAGTTTATGGTCAATATTTTTGATGTAAAAATGGTTCAAGATAATTTTACCTGTACATGTGTATATCTGAATGAAAAAAAACAAAAACATGTATCACTGGAAACTCACAATAAGGTGGTTCGCTATTAAGATTTCAGATGCAAACCACAGCATTTTTGTGAAATCCCAGAATATGTTTATACAACTTTTTCTGTGTCTTTACAATACAATGTCATACTATTCTTCTAAATGTACAATGAAAAATATAGACATCCTACTTTTCTACTAATGAAAACAGCGGTTTTGTGAGAAGTCTGACAAACAAAACTCACCCTATATTATATTTATCTGGTAAATACATCGAAATAATTTTAGGCATTCATTATCTCAGGTCAGGTTATATGTTCAGTACCTATATTCAGTGCTTTTCTGTCCTCACTGGTTGGATTCAGTTTGTCACTAGTGTCACTGATTGTATTACCTGCTTTACTGTCCACACTGGTTGTATTCAGCCTGTCACTAGTGCCACTGATTGTATTTAGTGCCTTACTGTCCACACTGGTTGTATTCAGTTTGTCGCTAGTGTCACTGGGTGTTTTCAGTGCATTACTGTCCACACTGGTTGTATTCAGTTTGTTACTAGTGTCACTGGGTGTTTTCAGTGCTTTACTGTCCTCACTGGTTGTATTCAGCCTGTCACTAGTGTCACTGGGTGTTTTCAGTGCCTTACTGTCCACACTGGTTGTATTCAGTTTGTCACTAGTGTCACTGGGTGTTTTCAGTGCCTTACTGTCCACACTGGTTGTATTCAGTTTGTCATTAGTGTCACTGGGTGTTTTCAGTGCTTTACTATCCTCACTGGTTGTATTCACTTTGTCATTAGTGGCACTGGGTGTTTTCGGCGCCTTACTGTCCTCACTGGTTGTATTCACTTTCTCATTAGTGCCATTGGGTGTTTTCGGTGTCTTACTGTCCTCACTGGTTGTATTCACTTTCTCATTAGTGCCATTGGGTGTTTTCAGTGCCTTACTGTCCTCACTGATTGTATTCAGTTTGTCACTAATGTCACTGATTGTATTCAGTACTTTACTCCCCTCATTGGTTGTATTCAGCCTGTCACTAGTGCCACTGATTGTATTTCCTGCTTTACTGTCCTCACTGGTTGTTTTCAGTTTGTCACTAGTGTCACTGATGGTATTCAGTGCTTTACTACAGCCTGTGGTTTTGTTCAGTACTTGATTTTTGTCACAATCGGTTGTATTCAAAGCTTCTCTGTTGTCAGCAGTTGTATTCAATGCTTCACTGTTACTAATGTCAACATTCAATACTTCACTATTGTCACCATTGACCATATTCAAAGATATACTACTACTGCCTGTTACTGTATCCAAACCTTCACTGTTGTCACTAACTGTCTTCAAAGGTTGGCTAGTGTCATTGTTTATATTCAGTGATCCACCACAGTCACTGATTGTATCCAAAGCTTTACTATTGTCCCCACTGCTTTTACATACAGATTCGCTATTATCCCCGTTGAATGTATTCAATGCTTCACTGTTGTTACGGTTCAAAACTGCACTGTTGTCACTGATATCATTCCAAGTTTCACTGATTGTGTTCAATGCCTCAATGCTGTCACAGTTTGTATTCAATGTTGTTTTTGTATCTTGATTAGCATCCCCACAAACTAACTGCCCAATTATAGAATCAGTGAAGGTCTTAAAATCTGACAAATTATAGTTGGTTATGTTAGGTATGGCCACATTTTGACCGGCTTTTGTAGCTAAGGCAATATTGATCATATCATTGGATTGAGCTAAAGCGAGATTCTCTGTTTCTGAATGTTGAACTAAAGAGACATCTTTTTCAGATAAAACTACGCCATCACTCTTGGTACCAATTTCAGAGACATTAGCAGAAACCATTACAGAATCTGAATTCATAACATTATTGCACAAAGAATTTTGCACCAAATAAGAATCATTAATATTTGTCATGTTCATAATTGAAGAATCGTTGCTTTCACATATTGCAGAGTTATTCAAAGAAGATAAATCAGCTACAGTTTCGATTATATAATTACTAAAGCCTATGTTCGCATCATGATGTTCATCACTACCACTGATATTTTTATGAACATTAACTATTTCAACATCAGTTAATGGCAATTGATTAAAACTATTCTCCAAATTTGAACCAAGACCTCTCTTGTTGAGCATCAAATTATTTTCATCGCAGCTCTTTTTGTTGATATTGTCTTTTTTGTCCATCAGTGTTTTTCTCTCAAAAACAAGACCAAGAACATAAAATTGAGCTTTATGCATGAAACTATGACTACATGGTTGACATACATATTGTTTGTTTTCTTTATCAGTGTAAAGTAAGTGTTTATCAAACGTTGATTGACAAACAAAAAAATTACCACATTCTTCACAAGCAACAGTCCGCTGTCCAGTGTGACATTTCATATGTTCTGTTAAAGCTGCCTGACTAAAGTAATTCCTACGACAATCTCCGCACTGGTATGCCTGCTTCACATGGGTTAAGGAATGCTCTTTCAGCTCATTTGCTTCCACAAAACGAAAACCACATTGTTTACAAACATGAGGCGTGACACTGGCATGTTTTTTATTCACATGTTCGCGCAGACGTCTGAGTTCTTTAAATCCTTGATGACAAACGGTACAGCAGTATGGTGTTTCTGATGAATGTATTAACATATGTTTGGCTTCTAGAGCATATCGTGATGAAAATGCTTTTCCGCATACTTTGCAAACAAAAGGATTAGTATGGACACCTATATGACGATCCAAATACTGTTTTTGGGAGTATCTTTTCTCACAGAATGGACATTTTAGGAAAGTGGTGCCACTTTTCATATTCGTTGTTTTCTCATTGCAGTTTTCTTCACTTTCACCAATGGCCTCAAGTTCTTCCTGCTCTAGTTTCTCTAGGGTTAATACAGCCAGTTTTTCTGCAAGAGCCTGTTGAACATCATCTCCTATGGGATTAGACATAACAACTAGTGCTGCAAAGAACTGAAGAGTTGGTGGATCAATTTTCTTTTGAAATGGTGGAACTGGTGGAATTGGTGGGCTGTGTTTTTCCTCTATGGTATTCTTAATGTGCATCAGAGCATGAAATTCCATTTCCTGAAAGTCACCACATACTTGTTTACAGATTTTACAAGTTGAAGGGTTTGTATGCCCTTCTAAATGTGTAGTTAGATTCTTCCTGAAGGTATAGACTTTTCTGCAGAAGCAGCAATCATACAGTGTGCCCTCTATATCAAAGTTAAATGGTTGCTTTTTCAGATGAGTCAACATGTGCTTTCTCTCCAAAGCATGCTTGGAAGAAAACTTGCGACCACAGATTTTACAAACAAAGGGATTTGTATGCAAGACCATATGTTTTTGTAGGAATCTTTTTTCTGCATACTTTTTGTTACAAATTGTACAGCTAAGCATTTCTGTATTGTCTGTATTTATTTTAACATCTTGGTTATTTGAATCATTGGCAACACTGCTGGATTCCATACTAATATTGGTATCTGTACTGGAACTATTGAGACGTTTAAAGTGGGACTTCATGTGCCTTTCTTCTAATGCTTTTTGACTCGTAAAAGTTTTCCCACATATTTCACAGGCATATTTTTTAGAATGCCATTGTAGGTGAAGAATGAGTTTCTTTGATGAAAAATAGGCTTTTGGACAATAAGGGCACTGACATGTTCTCTGAAGTTTTTGTGCTGCTTTTAAAGGTTTCATCTTTTTAATACTGCTGTTTTCAGTTATTCCAGGTTCTTGCTTCACAATAGTTCCAGCTGTTTGGAATTCCTGATTCCTATTTAATAATTCTTGAGGTGTACCCATATTGCTTTGATCCATACCAGTGATATCCCTAGGTGTTTCAGCTGCCTTTGATGAATTTGTTCCATGTATGGGCATGTGTTTTATTTCCAATGCTGCCTTACTTAAAAATTTCTTTCCACATATTTTACATACAAAAGGATTGAGATGTATTACCATATGTTTTGTAAGGTTAACTTTCACAGAATATCGTTTCTTACACACATTACATTCATAAGGTTTATCTTTTAGAATAGCTTGAGCTATGAGGTCTTGCACTACCACAGGTGCACCTTGAATCGGTTCACTTGATGTTCCTTCATTATATATAGCCATTCCTGGGCCAGGCTGTGTTGTAGAAACTACTATGTTCTGGTTTGAAGAACCCATCACATTCTGGTGTTGGTTTGGAGAAGCCTTCACATTCTGAAGTTGGTTTGGAGAAGCTATCATATTCTGGTGTTGGTTATCCAGAATACTTTGGTTTGAAGTGCTCATAATGTTCCCACTTGTATTAATGGTTTCTATTTTGTTGTGTTGGGTAGTTAATGTTAGGCCAGATGGTTTAACATCTACAGCACCACTGCATTTTGGCATATGCATTTTTTCTAAAACAAACTTTGTGGCAAACTTCTTGCCACATACATTGCAAATTACAGGATCAGTATGGACTTTCATATGACTGTCTAAATTAAATTTGTGCAAATACTTTCTGGGACACAGAGGGCATTTGAATTTAGAAGGTGGGATTCCATGGTGAGTAAACTTAAGACTAGCATTTTCAGTGGAAGGTGTATTAACTGAGGGACTTGAATCTGTAGAAGATTTAGCTACTGCATCAAGATTATTCTGCTGTGTGGCTGCAGCCAAGAGTAAATCATGAATGACCTTGTTTTCATTAGATTCTTTTTCTGGCTGAACTGCTGACTGAGATACATCTTCATGAAACCTATTTATATGAGTAACTAATGCTAATTGAGTTGTAAATTTTTTCTGGCAGTGTTTACAGATGAAGGGATTATTATGAATTACCATGTGCTTGTCAAGATGTTTTTGCAAAGTATAAGATTTCTTACATAAAGTACATGAGAATGGTCTTTCAGTCTTATGTGAGTCTGTTACTTCTTGTTTTATTGGTTGTGGCATGTTCATACTATCATTATCCAGTACAGATAAACTTGATATTGTGGATGAATCCAACATAGGATTATTAAGAAGATTCTCATCTTCTTTTTTCTCTACAACAAAATTTGAATTTGACACAGCAAGTAAAATGTCATCAATGCCATTTGTGGCATTATTCTTCAAGTCATGATCTGCTTTATGTACTAACATGTGTCTTTTTTCCAAAAGTTCTTTTGAGGAAAATTTTTTTCCACATATTCGACAAATGAAAGGATTAGTATGTATTGCCATATGATTATTAAGATGGATTTTTAGGATGTATCTTTTACCACACTGACTACATGGAAAAGGTCTATCTTTATACTTTGAACTGCTCACAGACAGAGTACTGCTGACAGCAGCAGAACTATCTGCACTTAATCTAGAAGATTCATCTTCCGTGGAATCGTATCGAACAGATGCAGCATCTTCTTCTTTTGGCTCAATGACATAATCTTCATTGGAGACAGCATGTAAAATGTCATCTAAATCATTTGAAACATTATTCTTTAAATCATTCTCAGCTTTATGTACCAGCATGTGCTTTAATTCAAGAGCTGCCTTTGTCATAAATTTTTTACCACATATTTGACACACAAATGGATTTGTGTGAAGAACCATATGTTTATCAACTAAGCTTTGTTTGTAGTATTTTTTGGGACACTTAGGGCAGTGAAAAGTTCGTTTGACACTTGAATCCATACTGAATTGCTTAGTTTTATCAGTTTTAGAAGGAAGGGGTACTGGTTGTACATTTGAGACCGTTTGTGAGGGATTACTTATATTATAGTCTGGTTGAATAGGCTGTACATATGATGCTGACTGTTGGGTGCCGGGTAAATTGCTGATTTGTTGAAGAGGTGGTTCTACCTGCATCATCTGTAAAGTACCAACTGATGGAATTGGTGTAACGTATGATGTTGACTGTGGGCCATTGGTTACTATTGGTAAGTTGTTGGTTGACTGAAGAGGAGTCACTGGCGACAAACAAGTCTGTTGTAAAGTGTCTGTCACAGAAGGTAAATGGCTGTTTTGCTGAAGCGATGGCACTGCTTGTATGTATTGCTGCAGTAACGTACTAGCTGATTGAATAGGTTGCACATAAGTTGACGGAGGGATTGATTGAACTGTCTGCATGGATGACACTGTTTGTAAAGTATTGCTTTCTGTGGATACATTGTTAATTTGTTGAACAGCAGGCATTGCCTGCACACATTGTTGCATTGTCTGAAAAGGGCTAGTTACTGTAGGTATGGTGGTCATTGATTCCATAGGTGGCAAATTTAATATAGTTTGTAGAGTACTGGCTACTGTGGGTATATTGCTGGTTTGTACAATAGGTGGTAGGGTTGTTTGAATTGCATAACCAGCAGACACATTCTGTGATGGAATAAATGTGTTTGCATTGATGACATTAGTTGTCTGAAAATTCTGAATGTCATTAAGATTCATATCACTGCAATTTGGTTGAATTTGAATAAATGAGTTTGTATTTAAATTTGTGGAATAATTATCCTGAATATTATTTAAAGGAGCCATCATAGTTAGTTGTTCACTGTTAAACATATTAACAGTATTAGCATCCGTCACATTTAACACATTCATGAATCCTCCTTGAACTATTGGTACAGTATTCGGTGAATAAAACATATCAGACTGGTCTGATTGCATATTTTGCAACACAGACACTAGGTTTGTTAGAGTTGAATCTGTTTGGATCATATTGCTTCTTTCAACAGGAATCTGCTGAGGGACTGTGGTGATAATCCCATTTGAAATAGGCATCATAAGTTGTTGTTCATAATTCATTAGGTTTGGCGCATTACTAGCTGTCATAAATTCTGAATTTACTTCACCCTGAATATTAGCATTGTTTAAATTTTCTTCATTTCCATGTGGAAGAATTGTTTGCATTTCGACAGATGGCAAAATTGGTACTGGCTCAGCATTAACTGTTAGCTTAGAATGTTTATTTTCTGTTTCTGATGTGCTCACATCACTTGATTTTCTCTTCTTACCATGGCTTGATTTGTGTTTTGCTAAATCATCTTCCAATAGAAATCTGTCACCACACACATCACAAAAAAGTACAGGAGAAGTAATATTAGCACAAGTGTGTTCCTTATATAACTTTCGAGTACGGAACGTGCTGCAACAAACTAAACATTTGTATGGCAGCTCTTTTGTGTGAATGTGCATATGTCTGACTTCCAGATCATATCGGCTAGAAAAATGTCTACCACACACGCTGCATTTAAATTCCGCTGTATGAATTTTTCTATGTCGTTGAACACTAAGTTGTACTGAAAACCTAGCATCACAAATGTCACACACATAGGGTTTTTCCTTATCTTGTTCTGATTTTAGCTTTGATGTGTCTTTGTTGACAGTTTCCCTGGGGGGTTCTGCCATATTGCAACTGTTTGTGTTTATTCTTCTAGGATTAGGAATCTTTCACATTTCGAGATTTAAAGACAAAAGTGATAGATCTATTCACAAAAGATATCTCATATCATTGCTCATTTGGCAGAGCTATAGTCTTCGTAAGATGTCCTTATAATAATTTTCAACCCATGTTCAACACCACTATTCAACAGATTTAACAAGCCCCGCCCTGCCACAGTGCACTCAATTTAAATTAGTTCATTGGCCAGTTGTTTACGGCCAGTTCGCGTGGATCTGTCATTAGAGGCTGGCAAATAATCCAAATACGTCCAAAATATTATCACTTCATTCCACATCTGTTCCATTTGGCATTTAAAGTAAATCTTCTACTTCTTTAATGTCCTTTCAATTAAGTTATGCAATATTTCTATTCGATATTTAGGATAAATTATTGTTGATAAAGCTAACTTCGGGAAGTTTGTGTTGCTCTTCACCATTACTAAGGGGGATAACTCTGAGCACAATTTGAATGATAATGCACTGCACGACACTTTGTATGTATCTGGACGAAAGGGCGTGCATGAAACGTTCTTTCGGGAACCAGGTAAAATAAATGCGTGATTTATGTACAAAGGATTGCATATCAAGGATACCCAACCTTTTGGTTCTTTCAAAGCCCCAAGTACATTAAATATGTAATCTTCTTACCCGCTCCATCTTCAAATAAGAATTGTTCTAAATATTAGTCCACGTCCTTTAAGCCCGCACGAGCAAAATTTCTTTGACAAATGGAGATTTGTCAAAAAAATTTGCACGTGTACGAGAGGAAATTTGCCACATTTTCATTTGCCATATGAGACTAGACAAAAGCTGGCATGCATAGCTTTTCGTCAAATAAATGTGTCAAAGATTTGGAACTTATGCTCGTGTGCGATAGGCCGTCAAATAAATTGCTGGCTTCGTACACGGTCAAAGAAAATTTGAAGAGACCGTCAAAGAAATTTGTCAAATTTTCTTTGCTCGTGTAAGACGGGCTTAAAACGCTCACAAATGGCCATATCAAAACCTACGGGTGGCAGTTTGCTGGTTTTGTCAGTCAAAAACAGTCTATCTGTCTAACAGTTTGCTCTATTGAACTTCTGGTTGGTCATTGCTCTGAATTTATGTCCGTCCATATTTTTGCACCTGTATATTTTGTATATTTTATGTTGTCCTCAAGGGAGGTTCCGATGCAACTGTACTTAATATTTCCTATATTGTATGTTGTCCTCAAGGGAGGTTCTGATGCAATATTGTGTGTCTTGTGTAATAATTGTCATATCGTTATAATTTTTATGTACACGTTTATATTGTATGCTGTCCTAAATGGATGTTTCGATGCAATAAAATCTTATCTTATCTTATCTTATCTTATCTTTCATTAAGAGAGAGAGAGAGAAAAAAAATGGGGATTAACATCCACTCGACATAAACTATGTCATTTCTGGACTAACACATGGTTCAATTTTATTTCAGTAATTCGCTTGCGCGTAGGGGTCTTTGACTCTTTAGCAGTGGAAGGAAACCGGAGGACCTGGAGAAAACCCACGAGGTTGAACAGACGACAGTTTATTACACAATCATACTGGCGATAATTATTCTTAAGAGCTACTTCTTCATTTGGGGGATCACGGTGGCTAAGTGGGTAAGGCGCCGGCTCGCTAGCCTGGAGGTCGGGTGTTCGATCCCTGCATTGGCCGAAAAAGATCATCCAGATTTTCCGGCTTGGTTTCCCCTTGTCAGTGATGCAGGACAGAGGGCAGAGGGCATGACAAGGACAGCTGTCTAGTCATTCGGATGAGACGAAAAACCGAGGTTCCGTGTACACATTGGCGTGCATGTAAAAGATCCCTGACAGTTGGAATTCGATATAAGAGTAGGCCGTAGTGCTAGGCCGTAGTGCAGCTGTCCGGACAAAATTTCCCTCATAGCACACTGTATGGCGTATGCCCGTCTTCATTAGCCCAGTTCGGAGCAAAACAGTAGGACGTTAAACCCCATTTCATTTCATTTCATTTCATACTTCTACATTTGGATATGCGTCTGTCGACCTGGTATTTGAATCAGTGTGTCGTGCTCATTTCATACAACTATTGTGCAAAATATAAGAAGCGGCCTTTACGTAATGATAGAAAGACAATTTTTCGACGAGAAAATCGCCAAAACTGTTTTAAAAATAAAAGCAAAAGTGAGTTGATCGACCACTATACACCCGGAGCGCGATCGCATGTGCCCCCCCCCCCCCACCCCTCAAGTGCACTATTGATTACAACCGAGTGAGGTTGTAAAACAAATAGTCTAAGTAACCCACTTAACTTTAATAGGTCAAATTTTCTATAGCTGGTTTCGCAATGTTAGGGGTGCTGAATGGAGGTAGCCTACTGACATGGAAAAGCGTGTTGTTATTCGAATGGGACGATAAACCGATTGACTTTTAAATAGATTAAGCTTGTTCCATAAATTAGACATCAAGTATAAAATATTAATTATATAAATAAAAGGACTGCACACTATAGATCTGGTAGGTTTTCGGATCGAGCTCAAGTAAAAATTAAAGGTGGTTTGCAAGGCAACGAAGCAGACGCCCACAGCAGCTAAGTCGTCCGTTCAGTTCACAAATCATATTTATTATTTTTGTAGGTAATGGGAGCATTTACATGACAGTAAAAGAGATCAAAAGTAACGCCTATTATCAGAAATAATTTACATTTGATTGGTTTGTGGGTTTTTGGATAATATTTATTTTACGAAACATACACCGGTAATCAGATGCTAACTTTATCTGCTCCAGTTATCAGTAAAAATCAAACGGCTTCTTTGTTCCATAATATAAAAAGTGGGTGAGGTCAGAACAAAACGTTAGTGCTAGTGTTAGAGTTTGTGTCAGTAAAAGATTAAACCCGAGCCCTTAATTTCATGTTCAGGTTAAAAAAAAGGTTACACTTTGGAAAATATATTAAATTTTTAAATTGAAACTCATGATCATTTTCCATAATTGGTTTGTTCTATCTATGTCTAAGTACATATAAAGCATCTGAGACAAGCAGTTAACACTTTATTTTTTACTTATTTTTTTACCTCTAAACTTAACACTGACTCGCTGTTTTGACCTCAACCAAATTTGTAACATTATCTTGGCTTTTAATTACTCAAGTGAAGTCAATCCAACACTAGTGTCACTCAAGTGTTTCCCTTATCTCAGCTCATGGAAGTTTTCCTATTTTTTAACATGGGTTCCAATAGGACACCACCTCTATGCCCTAGGGGTTAACATTTTATCGAGGCCAAAAGAATGATGTAAAGTGTTATCTAATTTTCATAAAATGTTAGTTTTTCGTCAAATAGGCCTATCATTATTCAATATTATAAGTCCTTCAATATTTGTACAAACACACAAAAACGGATATTTGTTTGGGTCAATTCTTTCGAAATAAGCCAAGAATAAGTAGAACTCATGTTTGAGTTTGTTTCGTGTAACACTAATGTTGTTTGGAGACTACCTTGTGATTTTATCCACAGTTGAATGAAAATAAAGCTGTAATTATCTATTTGATGTCAAAAATTAGGAAAATAGTTACATTAGTGTTACATTACGTCATGTTTACTCCAACACTACATATCGCCATTCTACACGCACAAATCCATCTAATTCATACTTCGAGAATAGATCTCTGCCCTAAATGGCAGCCATATCCAAAAATTAGTATACTGTTTTGTAATGCTGTTCTACTCCGTTTCACATCTGTCATATACACACAGGTTAAATAAACTTTTTCAATTCTATTAAATGGAAGCAGAATAACTACTTAACAAAATTCTCGAAGTATACTTAGTGTTTTCGACTGAAATTGTCGATTTAGGACTTAAAATATCGGTCAACTAGCTTAGTGTCTACGTTTAGTATGTACATTTTGCATCACCCATTGTGTGTAATATTACAAATTAATCGAATAATAACTTTAGTTACAATGGAGTCCAAATGGTTTTGTTTTAAGTGGAAAGGGGAAATGACGACAAACCAATCAGATAATTTAAAGGGACACTGTGTAAGATTAGACAAAGGGCTGACAGTTCTCGCTATAATTTAGTTAAAAAAAAAATAGATAATTAAAAATGAATGCCTTGAAAAGTTCAGTTAAATTACTTCAGTGTAGCCTCGATTGTCATTGCTTCCGTTATTAGAATAATAAACAAAGTCTCGATTATCCACTTGTATATTAAGTTATTAAATGGCCGAACCGTTCTAATCTACTTAAAATCGGAGCCACCCGCTGCCATTGAGAGTTGTTAATTAATGTCTAATTAATAATTTATATAACAATTAAGGCCTAAAGACCTGCAATTGAAGCCAAAAAGATTTTTTAAAAAGTAAAAATGGAAATGGCGTCGAAGAGTTTTCAATATTATCCAAGACCTTCGACAGTAATTAACGGGGTGAACATCAATAGGTTTCGTCTCGTGAACATAATCACTGTCTATAAAGTTCAAGTCAGGTGATAAAATTGATCAAGGACGATAATTCCGACAGTAATTATCGAAAAACGTTGAAAATTAATAGGATGCATCCAGGGGCGTAAATAGAGGGGGGGGGGCAAGGAAAAACAATAGTCGGTCTCAAAATTATGTGTCGGCGACTAAATGAATTAATGAGGTAAACATTAAATGCCAAAATATAATAGAAGGCAAAAATCCCAAATATGTATGAATATATCTGTATACGTTTGATTACTTTGATTGGATATTACGGGGTGAACATCAATAGGTTTCGTCTCGTGAACATAATCACTGTCTATAAAGTTCAAGTCAGGTGATAAAATTGATCAAGGACGATAATTCCGACAGTAATTATCGAAAAACGTTGAAAATCAATAGGATGCATCCAGGGGCGTAAATAGAGGGGGGGGGGGGCAAGGAAAAACAATAGTCGGTCTCAAAATTATGTGTCGGCGACTAAATGAATTAATGAGGTAAACATTAAATGCCAAAATATAATAGAAGGCAAAAATCCCAAAATATGTATGAATATATCTGTATACGTTTGATTACTTTGATTGGATATTACAATACGCGCCAGTTTTTCAAAGCTCAAATTAGTAAAAACTACCATCTGATTATAACACAGTTCCTATTTCGTTTCGTTTTTTATAGGTCAAAATTTCGTTTACTACACTAGGATCTGGAAGTTGTTATATTCACCTGTGTTATATTACCGACGTTCTGGTTGAAGTGAGAGATTAGCCAATGAAACGGTCTGTTACGACGAGTTCTTGGCGTGCGATGCCCGAAACTGTGGGTAACCCACTAGAGACGTCAACGCTGATTGATTAATTGATTCATAGGATCAAAATCCGACCGTACGACCCCTGACACGACCTTCCAGTACAGTCAGATCTTTGCGTAGTGTAGGCCATCGAAAGTAAAAAAAAAACGAAATGAAATATACATCTGCA